GGATAAGTCGAGAGTAACCTTGCTTGCAAAAACTTGGCGCTGTCCATTGCCTTTCAGATTTCAAAAGGGCAACCCTTTTCGAGCAACCAGGGTCCATTTTATTTTTCCCAATCTCAAATACGGTGCCAACACTACCTTGTTTAGTACCCTCTGGCAATCAAACATAGCTATGGAAAATAGCCAGTTGGTAGATGATTTACATAGTGCAGATTGCATGTTTTCCACAGCTATGTTAGATATTGCTAGATTAACGAGTAGGTAACATATGTAAATACCCCATTAATAGGAAACAAGTAGAATAAAGTATAGCAAGTACCAAAAAGGTAGACACGTGATCGTGTTTCCAGGATATTATAACTGGTGTTCTTCCCATATTGTCCAGGTTTCCAACTTTTCTATCTTTAACCAACTTCCAATTCGAACGTCCTGCATCGGGTATGAACCACGCTGTTGAAGTCTTCGTCCGAGGCGCCAGCCAAAGCGATGAAAACGAAGTGAAAGTTGTGGTATTTCCCGATTTCAAACCCGATTTATGGGGATTCTTTATGAGGATCGTTGAGGCATTGTAAATTTCTTGGTTGGTGATTCATGCTTGAATAGTGACAAACCATATTCAAGATCTTTGGCAGCAAACCGACAAAACATTGCAAATGGATGTAACACTTCGAACCGATACCCTTGCGGCCAGAAATTGCTACAGTGAATGTTGGTTTAGCATCAGAACGCCCCCACAAAGGAGGGGTCGGCGGCACAGGGCGCTAGCCCATTCTATATATATGGTGGTTGATCTAAATTCCTTGATCTGCAATCGACAATCATATAATATCACATATAAATACGTATGTATAGTGGGTTATTGATCTATGGTTATATATTCAACGGATGAATATAATGAATAATTCACTGTTAAACATGGGCTTCATCATGGGCAATACCCTCCGGCATTCCAACATGGCTAGCTGGAACCTCCACAAATTCTAGATGATCTTCCCACTTAAAGCTCCACATTGATAAGGTTTTTGGTATCTCCATGATTTCGGAACTTGCAGACAACATTCTTTCGGGTACTAAGAGTTTCTATTGGTATAGATAATTCCCTAAACAGTGTGGCCACGCTGAGGGGTTCTTACGGTAACAGTTAAGGGCCGGTGTTCAATCGAGGTGGTATCGGAAGCATCCGGCATTTTCCCTGAAAATTTCCGCACAAAATGCCTCTAGTGACATGTCCATGTGCATTTCGACTGCGCAGGCTCGCTCGCACAAAGTGTGTGTCTGCGTTCTTGGGCGCGGCATTTTCCTGCAAATTTCCGTATAAAGCAGCTCCCGTGACATGTTGATGTGCATTTCGACTGCACAGGTTCGCACAAAGTCTGCGCCGCGGTTCTGGGGAACGGCATTTTTCCTGTCCTGTCAATGCTGTCAATTTCCATATAAAGCGACTCTTGTGATATGTTGACCTGCATTTCGACTGCGCAGGCTCGCACAAAGTCTGCTCCGCGGTTCTGGGGAACGGCATTTTTCAGCTAAATTCCCGTATAGAGTGGCTCTTGTGACATGTTGACGTGCATTTCGACTCCGCAGGCTCGCACAAAGTGTGGTCCTAGCTTCTGGGCCGCGGCTTCATCCTCATCATCCTCATCATCCTCATCATCCTCATCATCCTCACCATCACCATCACCATCATCATCATCATCATCACCATCATCATCATCATCACCATCATCATCATCATCATCATCATCCGCACCATCATCATCATCATCATCACCATCATCATCATCGTCATCATCATCATCATCATCACCATCATCATCATCATTGTCATCAATCCCACATCCTCCTCCTCCTCCTCCTCTTCCTCCTCCTTCTCTACATCATCATCATCATCATCATCATCCTCCACCTTGTCATCCTCAATTCATCTTCCTCCTCCTCCTCCTCCTCCTCCTCCTCCTCCTCACCATCAACCTCATCATCATCATCACCATCATCATCATCATCATCATCCGCACCATCATCATCATCACCATCATCATCATCGTCATCATCATCATCAACATCATCATCATCATCATCATCATCATTATCATCAATCCCCCATCCTCCTCCTCCTCCTCTTCCTCCTCCTTCTCTACATCATCATCCTCCACCTTGTCATCCTCAATTCATCTTCCTCCTCCTCCTCACCATCATCCTCATCATCATCATCATCATCATCGTCAGCACCATCATCCTCACCACTGCCATCACCATCACCATCACCATCACCATCATCATCATCATCGTCATCATCATCATCATCAGTATCATCATCCTCAACATTATCCTACATTTTCCTCCCGCTCCCCTCACACTGTTTGGGGTCTCTTGCCGGAATATGTTTTTTAAGTGTTGTTTCTTACACTCAAACCTCGAGGAATTGTTGCGGATATTTTTGATTAATTGTGGATGGGTGTCCTGTACTCTTATTTCAAATATGTTCAAATCAAATTCCCATCTTTGTATCTCTCCGCCTTATTCCTGTTGACTATTGAAAGAACAAACATTTGGGTCGGTTCAACAGTTCAAATCGCAATCCACTGTTTTCTTGGATCACTCTCCGGTTTAGATGCCTAAATCTATTGGTTCTCGGATGGATAATGCTAGTCCTTAAATCATATATTCAGTCCACAGTTTTCATCATTTTTCTATATTTTTCTTGGATCAACAAAACCTTCCAACCCCAGTTTTCCGTTGCATCTCCTGGCACCACCCCCCCCGAAGCCGAGGCACCGGAACCGGTTCCGACATCGAGTTCGAAGCCCCAGCACTCTCTGAGGCTTTGAACTCAGCGCCAGATTCGAGGGCGAAGACCTGCCATGGGCGAGTTATCCAGCATAGCCTTGCCCAGTCATCAAACATAGTTACCCTCTGGTAATTTAACGTAGCTATTGAAAATGGCCATTTATAGTGGATTGTCCCATTAAAAATAGTGATTTTCCATAGCTATGTTAAATTACCAGAGGGTAGCTATAGCTAGCTTGAAAATCCACCATGCAGTGAAGATGATTTTCCAACATCCACCATCCATTGAGTTTGGGGATTTTCCAGCTGGCCATGTTTGATTACCAAACGGCAATGGGAATATAGTGGGACATTGATGGGATAATCCATGAACCAATGAGGATGAGTAATCCGTGTATGGGAAAACGATGATTAAGCAGCTGATTAACCAGTTGGTTGATGATGACCGTGAGAATGGCTAGAACTTTCTGTTATGGCCGGAAATAGTACTCGAACATGTGATTATCCATAATATTAGCCCCGAAAATAGATGTTATGGATTGTTATGGCATGTAAAATGATGTTATTGCCTTCAATAAACCTTACATCCCAGATTCTTGGTTAATTGAATGTAGGTTGTATCACTGATGACCTGAACAAAATCTCTTGTCTTCAGCATCCTGTCTGCTCAGGGACTGCCGACGGAATCTGCCTTGCCACACTCCGAATCTTTCTCACAAAGCAAGCAGCAAGCATAGCCCCAGCGGTGTGTGGCCACGCCTGGCTACCGGAGCTTTCTTCCCTCTCTAATCAAATGTGGCCATGGCAAATCACAGGTTTTAATGGAGGTTTTAGTTAAAAATCACAGAACTCGTTGCGCTTTTGTTGAGTTCATTCTTCCGGTGTTGGCTCTCACAATCCTTTGCTGTGGCAGCGTTTGAGGATCAGTTCCATGAGAACTTTCTACCCGTGGTACGGTCCATGTGAAAAAAACCTCTGGTTGTACATGACATTGTTGTGACACCCGAGATATCGAAAAAAAACACAAGTGGATCAAATCATATCAAATCAGCCAAAGGTGACATATCCTGATCCCCATGTTGATTTCAATTCCCAAATTCCATAAAATTCCATCTTCGTGCTGTGCCCGGCCCCTTCGGCCAAGTTTCAGTAGAAGGACCCCCATGCCGCGCTGTGTGGCTGGTGTTCTGTCGACTCCATCCGTCGATTAGATGAATGGTGGGTTGAAGTTCCCAAGGTGAAGGACCCAAAAAACCTGGATGAATCAGCTGGATCGTGCCATCAAAAACTGGTGATTAAATATGATTTCATGGAATAATATCTATTATTGGCAGGATTATTTTAATGGTGAATGAGGATTCAATCATCATATGTTTATCACGGTTTTTAATGGTCATTGAATCATTATTTCCTCAAATAATGTGATAAACCGAACCAAACAATGAACAAAACCTAGCATTTGGGGATGGTTGGAATACCACCCAGATCGCTGATGGCTTGGGGATGGTGATTTGTTCGGCTTCATCAACATGTGGGATGGGACCTGAGGGGTCCCAAGGGGTCACCAAGTCACCAAGGGTTTCAATACAGTTTTTATCACGTGGTCATCAATGACTTATCAATGACTTGGATGCGTTGGAGTAGGAAACCTCCATGGACGGGAACTTCCAATCCATGACGGACTTCCAATCCAGCATAAAAAGCGTGGCTCGAGCACAGGCTGCACATGGCGATTCACTCCAAACCAACCAGCAATGGCAATCCATGGTCTTCCCATGTCTTCCCTATAGGAAAGGATCTACATACAAATGGTCCAATGGTGGCGTTTCCAAATCTGTGTTAGTCTACTGAAAGGGCAAAAATCTGCAATTCTTGGACAAACCATGCACCCAATGGCCACCCAACGGGACACCCAAACCTCTAATCTCCTTTTCACCAAGAAAACACATCCTCAAAAACGTGTCGCAGCCGCGGCCAGCGACGTGCCAGTGCTTTGCTGGACAACAAAAGCTAGGCGTCCAAACCTTACAGTGAAAATGCCAAAGATTCAGCAGCCAGCGTTGGCCACTGAGCGTTCAACGGGGTCTTCAAAAAGCAGCAGGCTACCATAGCCATCAAATCCCTAGGTTTCATCGGTTTTAGATGGTTTTAGGTCAGAACAGACCGCAGCATCCCCATTTCTTGAAGACCCATCATTTGGTGCGATCTATAGGCCTTCAGAAGCCCGGGTGGGAGAATTCCTTGAGGTTGCCATCCAACCTTGTGGCCGAATACGGAATGCATTGAGAAGGGAGAAGGGAAACGAGATGTGCATCTTGGAGAGTGTGCAATGATGTGTTACATATACATAGTTTTCAATACATACAGTAAGAGGTGGTCTTATAAATGTATATATATATAAATATATATGTTTCATACCATGTTTGTATATATAGACGTACCTGTTTCAAACATTCAAACATAGTTGTCAAGGATTAGCACAAAGTAAAGCACATCTGCTTGGTCCAATGGGTAGCGGCCGGTTACACGGCCCATTTTCAAGTTTATTCAGAGACTTGTGCTTGTCACAAGTCGGGCCTTAGGGGTGTACAATATTATATGATTATGTAGTGATTATAATGTAGTATATGTATATAATATACGTATATATTATCATAGGTATTAATACATAATCCCCTATAATACATAATCCCCTATAGGTGATACATATGATACTATAATATAGGTATTAACATGGTATTAATGTAGTCCCCTGAGTGATTCATGTCCATCTCCCTGGAATTTGCCGCCAGCAAACTGCTCCAGTTCCAGCTTTTTGGCCAGATTCACGCCTCAGCAGCGATGCCACAAGCTGAGGCGCCGAGTTATCTTTGGTTTATATATATATATATATACATTATAGTAAGCAACCTAAAGATAGTTATTAATAGTACAAAGTTGTAGTGAAATATCATCTTTAGTTATTAATGAATACAATATGAATATATATATGTATGAATAATCTGGGTAAATGATGATATTTCACTCACCTGAATTGTTGGGCCATTTGGGGGTGATTCCCCTTACTAACCATGATTCCAGTGAGGTCGCAGTGAGGTCGTTATAATTTACCCAAATAAATCCATTCATCTTCACTATGATTGTATCATGTTGTATCCTCCATAAACATCCATAAACCTTGTATAGTTGGGAGCTTGATTCATCCATTTCATCTCCATATATTCATCATATTGAATGGTGGGGTTTTGGGGGGCAGCTGGAGGACAACCATAAAAGGTCTGAAAAACACATGTGATCGGCTGTGCTATGGCTTGGTGATCTGCAAATGTCACTTCTTTGAATGAAATATATGCGTAAATCATGGTAAATTAATATTTGGCGGATTCCAAATGATTCCAATATGTTCTTCAAATAAATCAATTTAGCAACATTGCTGAATCATCCTAATGTTTCATGTTTTTCCGCGGGGTCGTTCTGGTTTGCAGGAAGCAACTGCTTGAAATTAACCATCGCCAAATCTAAGACCAAAACGTGCAGGTTTACCAGTCGCACCTGGCGTGCTGCGCCGTGGATGAACCGAGAATGAGGGAGACACATGGCGATCTGCAACGGAAAACTCACATGGATCTGCCGCGTTTTGTTCTGGTGAGAGTCATCCGGTCTTCAGAGATTTAGATGAAATTCCAAAATCTATTTTGTCCATCATCCGGACAAATTAACTATGTATATTCCTGGCCATCGTGCCCAAAATAATTTCCATGCAATCATACATTTGCGTACATGTGCTGCTTCCGGCGGTAACAAGGGCTTGGCTCATATCAACTCTGCTGGGGTTGTTGCTGCAGCCTATTCAAGGCCAGGATGATATCTTGGGGAATGATTGCCGCTATGAGCCACAGGCAACCCTACCTTGTTATAATGTAATGCAACACTATTTTCCCCCGTTGAGGTGTCCAAGTAGTCAGGTCTTTTCAATCATTACTCAATGGAGTCCATGCCGATGTCAGAACTGAACCTTTTGCCCAATTCTGATCGATGGAACATGGTGATTTATCATACTTTTCTATCAGGCTAAAAAAAATAAATAACACAGCTATTGAAAATGGCACCTTTATAGTTGATTTACCTATTAAAAATGATAATTTTCTACAGCCTATGTCAGTTTACCAGAGGCTATATCTCGCCTAACTCGGCAGATCGACTCGTGGGGCTAATAACTTCCCGAAACTTTCAACCAATTGGACAGCTGTCCGAACGAAATATCAGTAAATCATATCAGTAAATACTTGCAGTAGTAAATAACTAGTAAATAATTAGCAAGCCCACAATCAGATATTGAAATGAGAAGCTGGTGATATTGCCCGTTGGTGAAACTAAAATGCGACCACTATGATGATTAGAAAGTAATTAGTAAATATTACAGATTAGTAAATATTACAGATTAGAAATTAGCTAACTTAAAACTGTAGGATCTGTAGGATCTAAAAATAGAGGTTTCAAGTTTTCAGATCCCAAAAGGCTACGATCAACACATCTGATGGCCTTTCGGGAGCTCCTTCATGGTCACCAGAACCTGGCATGATGTCGAAGGGAACGTCCCTAGTTTTTTTTTTGGAAGCTCCTGGTGCTATTCAATGTATATATATATTAATGTATGTTATATATCTATGGAGAGAGCATATGTATTGTAATTTAAAGAGATGTGTTTTTTCCCCTATCATTTTTGAGTTTGGCATAGTTTGGCATTCTTACGTATGTGAACTATATTCCAGAAATGTGATGAAATCTTAAATTGCCATCATTGACAGCCGCAACCACCAGCCTCGGGACACCATTTGTCTTGCAGCACCTGGGCGATGGCTGAAAAACGTATCTGGTATAGGGTGTGCATTGTTTAGTGGTGATTATAACAAGTTTAATGGCACATTATTGATGGAAATATGTTTAGATCTATATATATATAATATGTACATATAACATATAATATATGGCTGATCTATAACAACATGGGTGGAAATTTCAGGATTTATAGATGGCGCAAAAAATGACAAGCGCCGAGAAAATTCACATGACCAATGAATCTGCCCCCTGGGCCCATTTCGGGTGACGGCACACGCACCTTCTCTTTCATCAGCCACTGGCGAAGGTCGAAGAGCTTGACCGTCTTGCCATCCTCGATGCGAAGCATATCTTGGTTTTTGCCGCTTTTTACCATGGGGATATAATGGTCTCAATGGATTAGAATGGAAATATCATGATATCCCCAGATATAATGGTCTTCCAAAATGGAGATATCATGGAGATATCATGGGGATATAATGGTCTCAATGGATTGGTTGAAAAATTGCTGGAATTTTTGTTTTCTGGAAACTTGCTGGATCTTACCATTGGAGGGTCAGGTCACAAGTCCAGAGGTTTGTCCCAATCTTGGAATTGGTCCAAGGAAACCTTCCAGCAGGAAACCTCTAGAGAAACCTCTGGAATTTCTAGAGAAACCCATAGAGAAAATTTCCTTTAAAGGAGACCCATTTCCTTCTAGAATTTCCCTGTGCACTACGCAGTTCTACGCTATCACCTGAGCTTTTTTTCTATGCTTTGAAACCTCTCTTTAGAACCTACCATGTTCAAATGTAAGGAATTTGATCCATTCTGCTTTCCTGCTATTTATGACCGATGTATAAATTAAATGATGAGATAGATACAGTATTCAAACCTTGCTACTAGTACAATCACATATCACAGTATATAGCGCCCCCATTAGCCCCACTATTCTACGATTGTAGTTTAAAATCAAGCCCACCCATATTCTAGTACATTACTATATAGCATTATTTGGTCAACGACCAATATTATGACCCTATGGTAGCAATAATAGTGTTCCATGATGATTGACTGTCTAAATATCATTGTAAAACCATGCAATAGTCATATATATATGTATATATATATATATGTACTGTATATATATATGTATCATAACTTTTATTATATATAGTATTAGTAGTACTATATTCTATATATAATATACATCATATGATATTATATGGTCTAATAGAGTCTAACATGGTCTAATCAACATTTTTTTGGAGCGTCCCATCGGTGACTGATTCCCATTTCACCAGGCCTTAGGGACCACCACCACACCTCAGTAAACCCAAGAAACCAGAGGATTCTCATCATTTTCCACCTGAAAAAAATGATAAAATATGGGTTTGTCTGAAAATAGGGTATATTCCCAATTATAGCCATTTAATAGGGATAATGATCATTAACCATCGGGTTTAGGGGTACACTATTTTCAGACACACCCGTATGGCTATTTAGTTATAAAATGTGGCTATTTACACTAAGTTACAGTTTTTTTTCACTGTTTTCAAACATTTCCGTATTGTTAGTTTGGTGAAAGTATCAATTGAACTGAAGTCTGCTCTGTTCATGGGTGAAAAATGGCGAAAATTGTCGGGACTGCAGGCGGAGCTTGGCGACAGTGTGAGGAGTCAAAGATTGTCGGCCCAGGTGTAGGAATTCCCAGTATATCTCCTTATTATCCCCATTATCATCGTGAATATCATGGATTAATCTGGGCAAATTATATTTTTCTTCACTAACCTGAAATAACTTGGACCATTTTGGGATGATTCCTCTTATTAACCCAGATTAATGATATCATTCTTAGTGATGGCATGTCACCATCAAATTCCTTGGTGCAACGACCCTGCAAAGCGACCTTTCTTTGGCCCTGCATAGGTGTTTTAATGTTTGAGCCGCTGAACTTGACATACCCATTCAGAAAAAAATGGGATTAGCTTGGTAACTACGGTAACTACCAAAATCAGCTTTTACACGCTTATCCCCATAGATATCCCGTATTTTTCAAGAAAAACGCAATAAAGACTAGCCATCCACTTGGGGAATCCCCATGGCCGCGCTGAAAGGCTCCCAACCGACGGCTTCCCCGAGCATTGAGTGTGGACCTTGATTCACGCGGCTTCCGTTTCGTCATCCATTCATCAACTGCAACTGTTATCCCTTCATCAACTGCAACTGCAGAACGTCAACATGTTCCCCCCAGACTGGAGTTTTTTTAGATGTTTTTAGTACATAAAACATCTCACAACGCTTAGATATTTTAACATTACGATCAGTACCCCAGTTTTGTGCAATACGGCAATACCCATATCTTTGGTCTGTATTACATATGCGTGCCTGAAAATGATAGTTTATCCGTTGATGAATAGTTCAATTATTGTTTTATCTGCAACTATTCCAAATGCAACTATTGCAAGATATGCAACTATCCCAAAATTGCAATGTAGACATGCAACTATTCCATACTATTCCAACATTGCAATATGCAACTATCCCAAACTTGCAATCCTGCAATAAAGACATAGCTTATCCCTTGGGATTCGGGACCAAACCACTCGGAGCCCGACAAGAGAAGCACAGCACGTCCTGGACATCCGCATGCCGCCGGATCCTCGGTGGAGATTCGGAAAACACAGTAGCCTTCAGTCATCAAACATGGCTAGCTGGAAAATCCACCATTCACTGGATTGGTTTAAGGGAAAATCTACAGGAAACCATGGTTTTTACCATCAAATATAGGGCTTTCCTGTAAATTTTCCCATCATCCAATTCTATGAACCATGAAAATCCACCACATTCAAAAATATGGATGACATTTTTATACATTTTTCCATTATTTTCCATTGAGACCTCCCTTTGAGAAGGACATTTTCCATTACCACGTTTGATTACCAGGGGGTAAAAACGATAAAACCACGGTATCTCAACATTGCACGCTGGTGAAAATCAAGACATATCAACACAGTAATGAAACATCAGAAAACCGTTTTTGGTGTTTGAAATCCATGCAATCCGGATATCATCAATAGAAAAAAAGGTCACCAACCATCACTCATCACGTGTTAAGCCATTGTAGGTTTCATAAGATTCCACTGGCAACGAGAATCTATGTATTTCCGCTTTATCGAAGCCAAGGTCAAAATGAACCCAGCCACCTTCCTAATGTTCAATGGTTCTCTAACCACCCAGGCATTGTTCCTTGCTTAGCTACTTATACATACATTACATTGTATTACATTGTATTATTATTATTATGACTATGTACCTGCATATCATCTAGTTACGTATCATTACATATCTGCATCTCATTATATATAGTTACGTATCATTACATATCTGCATCTCATTGTATATAGTTACGTATCATTACATATCTGCATCTCATTATATATAGTTACGTATCATTACATATCTACATCTCATTGTATATAGTTACGTATCATTACATATCTGCATATCATTATATATAGTTACATATCATTACAATTCATTACATATTAAAATCTATCATACAACACAACATAACTAATTATACATAACTCTAACATAACACCCACCTGGTGGATAACTATCGGCATATCTCCTCCATGATTGTTCTCCTTCACAACTTGGCAGATCTGGACTTTCCGGACGCATCTTCCACTTCAAAGGGCGAGATCTGGCCGCGGTGACCATGATTTTTCTTCGAATTCTCTGGGGAGACAGGGTGGACATCGTATGGACATCATGTGGATATATATAATGTGGATATATATATATATATTTTTAAAACCTACACCAAAAGCATCAAAAACCAACACTTTGTTGTGCTTCTTGAAGAGCCGGGGATTCAACAACCCCCATGGCTTGGACTTGGAATTCCGGTCCCCTTGGGGCCATAAAAAACATCCGGTCAATCCCTGTGGAGATGGAGAACCGTATGATACATCATGATATCATATGCATGTATCTCAAAAAATAAGCTATGACCCCAAGTGATGACATGATTTTCATAGGGAAAATGATCCCATTTTCCCAAGTTTCAACATACCCATCCCACGGTCCCACTTATGTGGTTTCATCCCCTGCAAGACACCATGGGTTGACGTGCCTTTTCACCCGCGCGGTTGATGAGCTCCTTGAATCGGCCTGGCAACGGCAAGCCACCGAGAAATGTCATGGGGGTAGCCCAATTTACGGATGGTTTTGAATGGAAAATCCCAAGAAAAAAAAACGGATACCCCCATTGGAAACCTCCATATAGAAAACAATATGAGACGAATAATCTGTAGACTCGGGGACACTGAGAACACAATGAAAAAACTTTTGAAAAAGTGAAGATCTCTTAGATTCTGAGACTTCGATGGTCTGGGTACACACCATAGCTTCAGCATGCTTCAGCGGATCATTTTCGGATGAGCCGTCAAATCCCACCAGGATTTCTTGAGAAATCCAAACAAAATACAAACGTGCCAGTCTCTGCCGATCAAGTAGAGATACCCATCCTCATCTATCCATCCCTTATCTCCACCTCAGAGTGTGATCAGGAGTTGCTGATGCTTCAAACTGGTGGACTTGAAGATCTTGAAGCACCCATCCCCTTTGAAAATATAAGCCAACTAAATAGAATCATAATTTTAGGTACAGGGAAAACACATATTTTTAAACCCACCAAGTCAGAAATTATTCCGTTGATTTCTGGCTGCCGGCCTAATCTCAATGTATCTTGCAGTGTTGCACAAATCGGGATCCACAAGTCAAGATACAGAGATGCGCCAAGTCATTGGGGTTTCCCCAAAGTAGGGCGGTTGATCTGTGGTTCCCAGAGCCTCGAAATTCCGACTCAAAGCTATAAACCAACATCCTATATCCCATGTTACATCCCATGCTAAGCATGTTACATCCCATGTTACATCTACAAAAAATTCATTTATCGCAAGAAAACTCCCACATGTCATGTTGATCATGTTGCCCCCATGGTGAAGCGAAGCTTGGACTCTGGCTCCTCATAAAGCCATCTGTAAAGGCCTCCGCATTGGGATCCTGACGAGGTCTTCGCGACTGGAAGTCGACAATTTCACAGCAAAATGGCATGTTAATTGATGGTTGATTGTTGTCCATCGATTCGTTTTATATGCTTAAATCATCTTAAATCATAAAAAACATCGATACCAGATCAATATGCACTTGTGGATCGACTCCAAATTTGTCGCTGATGGTTTGCTCTTTCTCCTGATGTTTGGGGTGACGGGGAGTTGGGCCCACATTGACTTGTGGCACCGAGTTGAGCACCTACTGCAACAGATTGGGTCGCTTAACTTGAGTTGGTCCCGCATTGGATACCTAGCCATTTGGACTCGCAGTTCCTCTGGGTACATGAACGAATCGATGAGGCCGTGGGGCGCTTTAACCTTGCCAGGCCTCGAGCCTTCCTGCAGCTTCGTGCTGATGCCAAAAGACACTATGAGCTGTGTGCTGACCGCGTGCGGCAATTGCGAACTTTCTACTTTGCGATCGCGTCCAAGACATCGCATGCTGAATCTGAAAACACTGAAGGGATCGACGTTGCACTTTTTGGTTTTGTCGATGAACCGCAGATGTCTGCAGGTGATTTGTACATTCCTAGCCTTGAGGGACTTTTGCAGGCATTGGACTCCAGGCTTTCGGATTTACCCATGGCCTTTGTGTCTTCCTTGATCAACCATTTGATTGATCATAGTGCTAATGATTCTGGAATTTATATCCGTTGTGTTTTGAAGAGTTGACTATTTGGCTGATCAAGGACTTTTCATTATCATTCCCCTTCAATCATCCTGTTTCAGGGGAGACGGAACTCCATACCCTCTCTTCCCGTTTTGAAAGGCCAACTTTCGCCTATTTGCTGAGGTGTGTGAAGAGGGTGGTTGTTTGGTTTTTGAATTTGGTTGATGATTCTGAGCAGGTGTTGTTTCGTGACCGGAGCAAAGTTGATCTTAAGATTTATCGTCCTGCTGAAGGGATTGTTCTTAGAGTCTGGCGGCGCAGTTTCCAGGTGTCAGACGCTTTTGAGATGTTTCGCTGCTTCTCACCCAATTCGCAGAGTATGCGATTTGGCACGCCCGGCGTGAGGCAGAACGAAGGCCAACGCGACACTGCTTTCGCAGCGCCCTTTGGACCGCAAATCTGTCCGCGCTATATGCTTAATACATATTTGTATGATTTTTCTGTGGTTATTCATGGCTATTTCAACCAACAAACATATGCAACACAACCTACACTTTGGTGCTCTGATTGGAATCTGCACCGAGATACCATCGTGAATCGGCACCCCATTGCGTCCACTGGGCTCATTTCCTATCAACATATCCATAACTTGTGTATCAAATCCCCCTATGGTATTGCACCAAAATATCACATAATTGAGGTTCGATATTTCATGATATTTCTATGCCACCATTTTGATCCATTTTGTAGGCTAAATCAGTTCAATCTCACTAAATCCCATTGAATCCCCATTGCATCCCATTAAGTCACCATGTTTGTTGCTTAAATCTCATGAAATTCCACATCCAAATCACCGCTCCTTGTCCATGTGCGGTCTCATTTCATAGCCCTTCATGACCTGAGCAATGGTTGGACGTTGTGCTTTTTGGTGGTTGAGTCACCGGCACCATGTATATGTATCTATCTATATCCATCTATGTATGTATCTATGTATGAAGGTATATGTGTATATATAATTATATATAGTCAAATCTGGTACAATCTCTTTACATACATCTACATCATACATTGAGACTCTCGTCGAATTCATTGAAAAAAAATGAAGCGAACTGAAACCATCAACCAGGAAATTGCTGCCACTGGGTCAGAACTGGATTACAATTCAGCAAGGATTGGCCACTGAACAGAGGCAAATGGCATGAACTCAAACATCCCATCACCCAACTAGTTGATGATAGAGTGATTCTGCAATTCTGCCGCTGTTCCATACCTGTGGTAGCCTTTACCTCTTCATACTGTATTTGTGTTCATCGAAACTCTTCAAATCTTACATCCCTGCGGCAGTCCCGGTGCCAATATGTGGATTTGTCTGAAAATTGGCTACCCCTCAATCTACTGGTTAGTCATCATTGTCCTTACCAGTAGTACCGCACAAGGCGGTGGCGGAAGTTTCAAAAATAGAAGACCCAGAGGAGAGGTTGGTTGTTGTGAATCACGGATGGCAGAGCGAATCCGCTGATGGACCGAAAGGTGGTTGGAGCGGTGTTTTCTGGAGTGGTTGCAATGGTTGCAGTGGTCACCTCACCACAACCGCTGGATGTAGTGTGGTGTAGCGCAGTTGTAGTTGTAATTGTACTTGTAGTTGTAGTGTAGCGGAGTTCTAGTTGTAACTTGTAGCTGTAATGCAATGTAACTAGTGTAGCGTAGTGTAGTTGCAGTTGTAGTTGTGGTGTGGTGTAATTAGTGTAGTGTATGTAGTGTACTGTAGTGTTGTCTACTGTAGTGTGGTATAGTGTATATTGTGTAGCCTAGTGTAGTGTACTTGTAGCCTAGTGTAGTGTAGTGTAAAGTAGTGTAGTTGTAGTTGTGGTGTAATGTAGTGTAATTAGTGTAGTGTAGTGCAATGTAGTGTAGTGTAATGTAGTGTAGGTGCATTTGTATTTGTAGCTGCAGTGTGCTGCAGTGCAGTGTAGTGTAATGTAGTGTAATTGTACTTGTAGCTGTAGTAGTAGTGGTGGTAGTAGTAGTAATCGTAGTAGTTGTTGTTGTGTTTGTGTAATTAGTGTAGTGTAGTGTATTTGGATGTAATTAGCGTACGGTAATGTAATTAGTGTTGCGTAATGTAGTGTATATTATTATTAGTAGTAATAATAGTAGTAGTAGTAGCAGCAGCAGTAGTAACATGTCTCTTGTACTGCGCCTGCCACGCGACATGCATCTTTCCAGATCCTCTTCAAATGCCCCACGCCTGCCATCGTTGTTGGAAATATGCCACAAAACACCAACGTTTTGCTCACTTTTGACAAGGTGCGCGTGCTTTGCACGTTTTGACATGGAAATGTGCTTCGCGCCACAACGGCGTGCGCTGTTTCGACATCTCAACTTCCAAAAGTGGTCCGATGTTGGTGTGTTTTGTACGTTTTGACTTCGAAATCTGCTTCGCGCCACAACGGCGTGCAATTTTTCGACATCTCAACTTTTGAACGTGCTCCGGAGCTGAAGTGTTTTGTGCATTTTGACCTCGAAATCTGCTTCGCGCCACAACAGCGTGCAATTTTTCATCTCTCATCTGGCCAGATGGCTCCGCACCCGCCACTTTAGCAAGCCTACTTTTCGACCCGTGGGAGCCACAAATCATTGGAAAAACACAATGTTCCGCGACTTTTCTACCTTTTCGCGCACCTACATCTTCTTTCTTCTGACTCTTTCTCTTCTCTGATCTTCTCTCTTCTTCTCTTCTCTTCTCTTCTCTGACTCTTCCCACCTCTGCTTTTCCATCTGTCCATATTGTCGGAAGTTTGACTTCTAAACTTCCTTCGATGAATATTGCCATAGCTGGGGGTATACCGTATACGCCATTGTCAGACACGGCCAGAAATATCAGATTGTTGGTTGCTGAGATCCCCCTATATATCCCGCCAGATAATATCCCCATTAATACCAGGCTGTATCCCACTAATATCTCATTGTATGCTGAACAAATCCAACTGATTCCCGCTCAAAAAATCTAGGTCGGCCCCGCGCAGGCACCCTTGACGCAAACCTCACCTTCCTCGCCCACACCTCAGCTTTCTGGGGCTGGACATCTCTCCAAGATGAGTTGATGGTGATCTCGGATCCCCCAAAAATAAGAACGCCAATCAACCTGAAAATGGCAGAACAAAGTGGCACACATGTGTTCCATTGCTTTCTCCAACACCCAAAATGGAAACACAGGATTTGAATGGATTTGACTCAAACATCTTGGCACTTTGCCCAACAGAATTTCAGTTTCCCCCAAAGCCCAGAAGGCACGCTTTTTGGCACCGCGGACACCACTTGGGGTGCAAAGGGATGTGCTTGAGACTCGCAAACCTGCAGGTGTCTCCGGTGCAGAGTATGGCACTAGTCCCGGGCATGGCAGAAATATCTTAAGAATTCTTAAGACATGTCAATCATTGGGTTCGTTAAAGGCAACATCGAAAGGAAACCATGGATCTACCAGCCAAATTTAGGGGTTTTCCATGGTTTTCCGGGAAAATTGACCATTCAACCAGTCCCAGGAAAGCCATGCTCGGCTTGAATCCGGTGATCTCTGGTCATTTTCAATGGGTTTGAGTCTATAGCAACCATCAAAAAGACAGAAAAGTAGTGTATCACTATATTTTAGTAGGAGATTGAACCTCCTTTCCTACCTATTTTGGGGGTACTATAAGTTGTCAGCAGTTGACAACATGAAGTGGCTCGCTGATCTTTTGAGCAATAGCAGCTATAGCAATTCTGGGTGCATCCCAGTTACCAAGTTGGTATTAACCATGTTTTATATGAGTTATGAGTGGATTCTAAACCACTTACATCCACTTCCCAACTGCTGGTATGCACATCCAGAGAATCGTATGCCCTCTGGTCCAACTGCCGTGGATACAGACGTCCATGGCAGTTTCCCGCTTGGAAAATGAGGGATATGGGATGCGCCAACGAACGAAATCACAACACACCCAGAAGAATCACGAGATCTGCCATGGCCACAACATTGTATATGCAACATGTGTATATATATATATATTAATAATCTATTAGGCATATGGTCATTCAATCCGCAACAGGAATTATTTCACTTACTGGCATAGATTGGCCATGATAATTCCTTTCTAGATTGATATGACCATGACAAAAAATGTGGCGACCATTTACCGACCATGACGTGACCTGGAAATCGCCAAGGAACAACTGTTGCACAGCGATAGCTGATGGCATCTGGCAGAACCTCTGTGCGGTTCCATCAATTTTCATACGCGCGCAGGAAATTGCAATCGACTCACAAAAAACCTGATTGAAGTCTTGAAAACATTGCGACTATTCTCATACCATTTCTGACCTACTGTAGCTGACTGTCCTTCAAAAGTCTCTTTCCAAATGCAATATATATATATATCTCATTTCAAAATGAGATGTGGTCAAGCATCTATGTTCTATCACTAGTACTCCTGCTCCAGATTTGCAGCATCCAGAACATCTTAAAACTTTACAGATCGGCTCTGGATTCATTTCTTGGTCCATCCACTGCTTCATCCTCATTTTCCCAATTGTTTCGTTGTGTTCCCAACCCGTTGCGGGAGGCTCCCAGGGTCCCAAGCGCGACCGGCAAAGACGGTGCCCACACCGGTGCCTGCATTGGTCGCATCTCTCGCCAGATTTCCAGGACCATCAACCAGCTGGCATCCTTGCAGGCGGCCTGAGATCATCAAGGTGATGGGAAGCCAGGGCTATCCAGGGCTCCCCAAATCTTGGGGGAAAAGACCCATATAGCAAGCAACCCACAAGTTATACATCAAAATACATGGAAAAGGTGGAAACTTGAACATATGGAAAAAAACTATTTATATAAATATCGTCCATAAGATGCTGGTCAAAGTGTTCTATCTTCTGACCGAGCCCAAAATAGTGGTACCAAGGGAAGCGCAGATTTGGTGGTGCGACCTGACCTCGATAGAGCTGAACCTGCCAGGTGCAAATCCCGGCCAGAGCATGTGACGATTTTTGGCAAAACCAACCATTTCAAACAATTTTAACCAATGGTTATCCAATTTTAAGCAATTTCAACCAAATTTACCGTTTTATCCAATCTTTTTTTGCTGGCGGATGGAAGCTTCCAATTTCAACCTCTGACCAACAGGATTTCATCCAGCAACATTACATCTTTGAATCTAGCAGCATTTCACCACCACTTCAAGTCTATATCTGTATTTCACCCCTGCAAGTATGCTGGTTTCAACTAGCCAGATTCAGCATCATTTTTAGCATAGAAAACATTAGAACTCTGAGGATTCCATGTATGTTTTACCCATGTTTACCCTCTGGTAATTTAACATAGCTATAGAAAATCACCATTTTTAATGGGAAAACTCACTATAAATGGGCCATTTTCAATAGCTATGTTAGTTTACCAGAGGGTAACCCCCAGTTGCAGACTGAAATCTTGGTCGCTGCCCAGTCACCAGCGCCGCGTTGAAACAGGTGAGGTTCGGCGCTTCCGTCGCATGCAACTGCTGGATGGCGAGGCTCCACCTGGCGAAGGCGAATTCCCGACCGTTTCAATGGGAAAAAACATGGGTACCCTCTGGTAAACTAACATAGCTATAGAAAATCACCATTTTTAATAGGTAAATCAACTATAAGTGGGCCATTTTCAATAGCTATGTTAGTTTACCAGAGGGTAAAACCATGGGAAAAGATGGGAAAAGATGGGGAAAACCATGGGAAAATATGACCAAAAACCTCTTTATGAATGGATATCAACGGATGTTTCTAGCTGGGAATCAAACTAACACATGGTTGTCTTGTCCAGCCCTTGAGCTGAGATACCTCATGATTATCCCAGCGTTCCAGCCTGTGTATAAATAGTTATATATACCCTCTGGTAAACATACAAAAAACGATGGAAAATCAGCATTTTTAATGGGTAAATCAACTATTTCTATGGCCATGTTCAATAGCTATGTTTGTTTACCAGAGGGTATGTATATATATATATACACAAGTCATCTTGGAGAAAATAAAAGATGAACATGTCAAAAAAATCCTCGCCAAGGTGGGAATGGTTTCAAAAACTATATATATATATATTCTATCTGATTCTATCTGGTTCAGGATGACTCTAGACAATGAATAAATATAATATAATATACATGTTTACTTATAAAACATGAAAACGTATGTATATACTTGTACATCACAGAAGCTTTTTCATTGAAAGGAAATCGTATCCCATATTTAACACATCATCATCACAAACATTCATACACATTCCTTTTACCCAATAAATAAGCAATAATTTCGTTGAAATGTCCAATCGACATCATCGTCATTACACAAAAAAAACACCCAACATTCACACACATGTTTTACCCAACATTCATAAACTCTAATTACCCAACATTACCCAACATGCATACACATTTTTTACCCAACATTCATAAACTCTAATTACACAACCTTCATACAGTAATTATCCAACATTCATAAACTCGTTGGTGGTTGACCTACCCCTCTGAAAAATCATGGAGTTCGTCAGATTGGATCATCATCCAGTTCCTATTGGGGAAGTCATAATCCAGCCATGTTCCAATGGTCCAGTCACCACCAACCAGATTTATCCATTATCCATTGTTATTAACCATTATTAACCATCATTCACCATCATTGACCATTAACCATCATTAACCATCAGAATAATTATAAATAAGAGGATTCCTGATAAACATTGATAACCAATAGTAATAACTATGATGGTTAACCAACATGATGGTTAATTAACATGATGGTTAATGATGGTTATTCCTGATAATCACCAATATTATTATTATTATTAACCAACATTCATAAACTCTGAAGAATTGATGAAACCTACGGGACCCCTGACATGGACCCCCCCAGCTGACCGTCGAGCTTTTTCGAAGGCGCTGATCATGGAGCTTAAAGCCACCACCTCGGCTGGCAACGGAGCCAGGTGGATGCTGTTGGGTAAAAAATCAAACACGGTGAATTGCTGGGAAATCAAGGTTTGTTCATGAGTTTCCTATGGTAAAATCCATGGTAATTTTTTTTTTAAATCCAGGTCAATTGCGAAATGAGAGTGGTTTCCTATGGTAAAAACCATGGTCAATTCTGGTTCGCTGGTGAAATCCAACGATTTGGTGAAGGTTGGTGGGTGGAGCTTGTTGGGGATTACTATCACCAAATCTAAATGGATGGTGAAACCACCCAATCCATTTTTTCCCGCCAACAAAATGTTCGTTTCGAATTTCGAATGATTCAATCTCCATTGCTTTTTGGTCAAGCCCAATCTTTTGAGAGATTTTGCGAGTGAAATACTCGTTCCTTCCTGGATTTCAACTATTTAATTAATAGTGATGTAAAGGACAAATGAACATCCGTGCCATGGTCGAAAGTTATGATTCATATTTGGTAAGTATGGTCATCCCATCATCATAAATGGAATTGCAAGAACGATTGGCATGATTGACCCCTATGAAAAGGGGAGGATGACCATCCCGTACAGTGTCCAAACGTCAAAAAGTGCGTCACATCCCCACTTTTTTCAACTCAAAATTAACATAAATTAACCAAGTTATTTGCGTCAACTCCGCTACCATTAGCTATCATCTATGCATAAAAATATATAAAATTCAGATCTGATTTTTCGTGGTGAAATCACCATCTTCCCATGGTTTTACCCTCACCTGGCAGGTTTTTTTTTTTTTCGGGTGAAAAAAAAACCGCCAAAGCACGTTGGATCGCAGGCTGTAGGTGCCGGCCAGCATGCACAGCTGCATGGCCATTGGCCATGTTTGGCAGGCGCTGATGCTGCTACTGAAACCTCGGTGTCCCGAAAATGTGATGCTACGAATGGTACGAATGGTTTACCACAGTATCGAAGAATTCATATCCAACTTCTAGTTTGACAATCATCAGTAGAGACTATGTATAAACATATGTGTATATATATATATACGTATATTTGCATATGTGTATATTATATACATATGCAAACACCTCCATGTTATTCCGAGGGTGGAACAAAGGAGGCAAAGCATCCAAGGAACAGCTTGAAACAAACAACGATGGTGTATCTTAACATCTGGGGTGTCGTAGGCGAGGGGCTCACTTTGGGCATAAATTCGGGCTCACTTAGGGCATAAATTTTCGAGGTTCACTTTGGGCATAAAATGGGCTCACTTTGGGCATATCTGGCTCACTTAGGGCATATCTGGGCTCACTTAGGGCATATCTGGGCTCACTTCAGGCATATCCGGGCTCACTTCAGGCATAAATGGACTCACTTTCAGCAAAAAAGACTCGACACCTTTAGGGTTTATATGTTGTTGCACTTCATCTAAGAAGAGCCACGCCACCTTTAGGGTTTATATGTTGTTGCACTTAGTGTCAGAAGAGCCTCGACACCCTTACGGTATATATGTTGTTGCACTTAATCTAAGAAGAGCCACGACCCCTTTAGGGTTTATATGTTGTTGCACTTAATGTAAGAAGGGCCACGACACCTTTAGGGTTTATATGTTGTTGCACTTAGTGTACGAAGAGCCTCGACACCTTTAGGGTTTATATCTTGTTGCACTTAATCTTAGAAGAGCCACGACCCCTTTAGGGTTTATGTGTTGTTGCACTTAATCTTAGAAGAGCCACGACCCCTTTAGGGTTTATGTGTTGTCGCACTTAATCTAAGGGCCGCGACCCCTTTAGGGTTTATATCTTGTTGCATCATGTAAGAAGGGCCACGACACCTTTAGGGTTTATATGTTGTTGCACTTAATCTAAGAAGGGCCACGACCCCTTTAGGGTTTATTGTTGTTGCACTTAATCTAAGAAGAGCCACGACCCTTTAGGGTTTATATGTTGTTGCACTTAATGTAAGAAGGGCCACGACCCCTTTAGGGTTTATGTGTTGTTGCACTTAGACCACGACTTTAGGGTTTATATGTTGTTGGTTTATATGTTGTTGCACTTAATGTAAGAAGGGCACCGACACCTTTAGGGTTTATATGTTGTTGCACTTAGTGTACGAAGAGCCTCGACACCTTTAGGGTTTATATCTTGTTGCACTTAATCTTAGAAGGGCCACGACCCCTTTAGGGTTTTTGTGTTGTTGCACTTAATCTTAGAAGAGCCACGACCCCTTTAGGGTTTATATGTTGTTGCATTTAATCTAAGAAGAGCCACGATTTTTTTAGGGTTTATATCTTGTTGCACTCAATGTAAGAAGAGCCCCGATACCTTTAGGATTTATATCTTGTTGCACTCAATGTAAGAAGAGCCCCGACACCTTTAGGATTTTTAAGTTGTCGCATTTAATCTGAGAAGAGCCACGACCCCTTTAGGGTTTATATGTTGCTGCACTCAATGTAAGAAGAGCCACGACACCTTTAGGGTTTATATGTTGTTGCACTCAATGAAAGAAGAGCCACGACACCTTTAGTGTTTTTATGTTGTTGCACTTAATCTAAGAAGGGCCACGACCCCTTTAGGGTTTATATGTTGTTGCACTTAATCTAAGAAGAGCCACGACCCCTTGAGGGTTTATATGTTGTTGCACTTAATGTAAGAAGGGCCACGACACCTTTAGGGTTTATATGTTGTTGCACTTAGTGTACGAAGAGCCTCGACACCTTTAGGGTTTATATCTTGTTGCACTTAATCTTAGAAGAGCCACGACCCCTTTAGGGTTTATGTGTTGTTGCACTTAATCTTAGAAGAGCCACGACACCTTTAGGGTTTATATGTGTTGTTGCACTCAATGAAAGAAGAGCCACGACACCTTTAGTGTTTTTATGTTGTTGCACTTAATCTAAGAAGGGCCACGACCCCTTTAGGGTTTATATGTTGTTGCACTTAGTGTAAGAAGAGCCACGCCACCTTTAGGGTTTATATGTTGTTGCACTTAGTGTCAGAAGAGCCTCGACACCTTTAGGGTTTATATGTTGTTGCACTTAATGTAAGAAGGGCCACGACCCCTTTAGGGTTTATATGTTGTTGCAGTTGATGTAAGAAGAGGACATGGGGTGGGTTGAGGGGACATAGGGTTACGGGGCTGGGACATGGGGTGGGTTTAGGGGAGCAGCATCCTGGAATGAGACCTTTAGAATAACACTTGGGGACTCGGGGCTGGGACATGCGGTCTGATTCAACAGGAAATGCATGCTCAGCCAACAGGAAATGCATGCTCACCCTGTGATTCAATGACAATGTTCTTTAGGAGTATCTCTAATGCACATGCACAAGCCTCTTGAGGTCATGTTCACATACATCGATATATCTTGTTTTTCTTTACTTGTACGTAACTTGCAAGACGTTCCTGATACGTTGTTAACTCTTCTTGCAGTGATTTGTCAGATGTTCCTGATACGTTGACACACCTTCTTCAAGTGACTTGCAACACCTTCCTTAGACGTTGTAAAAATCTTCTGCAAGTACCTTGCAAGACGGTCTTGGCACGTTATCACTTATCACATCTTGCGCCTGCCACAGTGCCTGTGGAACAACTTTAAGCCCGAAGCGAGACCAAAATTACGCCCGGAGCGAGACCAAATTTACGCCCGAAGCGAGCCAAAATTTACGCCCGAAGCGAACCCCCGCCCTCGTAGCGTACTTACATTACGTAATGCTTCCATTGTAGTACGGAAATGTAAGGAACGTGATATTGAATAGTTGTACAAAAATACGCTTGGGGAAATTGACACACAATGACAAAAGAACATGAAGTTGTCCTGATGGTCCAAGCAAGAACGTAAAGAAAGAACATGTGATTTTGACTTGAAACTCAGTGAAATATGTAAATGTACTCAAGAAATGTGATGATGTAACCAACCAGTGCTTACTTCCAATGTGGGATTTCACCAACAACATCAACGACGAAACCGGGGATGTTGCTTTCAACCAAAAGAAACGTGGATCGTTATCGTTCCAACCAAACGTGTGGGACCTAATACATTACATATATTGAAAATTGCTTTCAATCAAACAATATCAAACAATGACAATGCCCACTTGGAACAGCATATTGCAATTTCCGGGAGGTAAGATGTGAAGAATTTCGAAGAGATCAGTGCCAGGCATCCAAATCCCTCAAACTGCAATTTGGATGCTGATGATGTTGGGTGATGACATGCTCCGCAGCATTTCCTGAACAGAGACTGTTGAGACGGGCAGAATTTCACATCGACGTCATGGTTCGCAAAGCGATCTTACATCAGGGCCGCAAAGACACGAGAAATATGGGTCACTTAGGTCACTTGGCACTTGGTGTAAAACATCCAAAGTTGGTAGGTCTTGGGAGCATCTACTTCAAAAAAACTTATCCACTTCGACAATTCGGGCTTTTTCGAAGTGACCTGACCTTGCATCACCACGTCATCTGGACATCCACAGATGTGACAAGCTGAAGTTGAAGGGTCATGAGTTGGTTGAACCCATGAAAAAGGGATGAATTGTAGAAGCCAATGATAACTAGGATCAGTTTGGGCAAAAACAGTCTCTGGGGATCTTCCCCCAACGAAGATCCTTTTCCCATCCCATCCCCAGCGCATATTAAACACAGAAACCATGGTCCTGATGTGGTTTCATTCAGTACACCATGAACATCATGGTTTCTTGGGGGCGTTGAATATTACCTCTGGTAAATTTCTACATAGCTCTTGAACATGGCCCATAAAAATAGTTGATTTACATTGATTTACCTATTAAAAATGCTGATGTTCCATAGTTATGTGAGTTTACCAGAGGGTAGGGGGGATGACCAAGTGTACCTGCCACTTCACCGAGCTTCAACCGCTGGTCTCCATATCTCCGACGACTCACAGGCACTGATGGCACTGTTGTAGCCTCGAGGTGACTGGAGCCCTGGTCAAGTCTCAACATCGGCACCAAGCCAGGAAAAAAAACCCGCTGCTCAATGATTCAACGATCTCTAAGCCCTCAATTTTAGAATCTCACACATCCAATTTCCATCAATTTCCCAAACTGCCGTGGAACAGATGAGATTCTTCCTCAGGAAGTTTTGCTCCATGAAGTTCAAGACTTCAAAAGCAGACCGCCAGCCCTTCTCGCAACTGATGAGACTTCCACAGGTGATCACATTTGCCCTGACAGCCTGCGGAGAATGGAGGACATGTGGATTTGTTTTTTGTCACATAGATGTATAATACATTATAATACAGTACTATAATCATCCTGAAGTAGATAGAATATTACATTAACAAACATATTCTGAATCTTGTGAGGATTCTTGACAGTGTCATGACATATCCAGATTCTGGCTATACATAGATGATCATTGATGTAGATATAAACCATGATGCCGGCCCTTAAAACATGTTAAGCTCAATCTGGAAGTTTCCAATTCAGCTGGAAGACTTCTACCTCCCTGTATTTTTTTGTCCAAGGAATCATGCTCAAGATGGATTTCTGCCTACTGTCAATGATCTGTACAACCAAGCATACAACTGGTCAAGACTTGCAAAAAATCAAGGCGTGATGTTCAACTAGTTTGACACCATAGGTGAAGTGTGGATAGCACAAACTAACCTCACCATGACATTTAAACGGTGTGCAATATCTGTAGACAGACAGATTGGCCCAACCCATAAACGAAAAACTAAACTATCTGGGCAAATGATGGCAGCCCCCAAACTGAAATGACAGTGATGACACTAATTCAAAAATAACAGCTATAACATGCTGTAATTAACACAATAACAATGCCACCGTAGCAATATCAATAGCAAAAAAAGTCGAAAAGAAGCCAATAAAACCAATAGCAATCCCATATCCAAACATATCAAGTCTTTAATTCATCAACCCAAAAAAAAACATCGGAAAACCAACAGTATCAAATTTCCCCATCATGTTTATCATGTTTCACAACATTAAGCCCAATTAACCACTAAGAAATCCAATTTATGGGCACAACACTTCGAAAACATCATCTCCATATTTTCAGGTTATGATTTTCGCCCAATCACCAACATTAAGCCCAATTAACCAACATGAAAAACACTTCCCATCAATCATCTTACTGGTGCTAAACGTAGGGAATGGATGGGTGAATGGATGAGTTGCTGGAATGATGACATGACGGATGTGATGACTGGGATCATTCCCGAAAATTCCCTGCGTTTAGCTAGCACCATGTTTATCATCTCCATATTTTCAGCTTTTCTGATAAGCCCAATAAATAACCAACATTAAGCCTGGGTAAATTATAATATTTCACTAACCTGAATTAAGGCCCATTTGGGGATGATTTCCCTTATTAACTATGATTCCAGTGAGGTCGCAGTGAGGATTTACCCAGAATATATGGAATATAGTATAAATTTCAAATATTCATGTATATATATATATATTCCCATTCAACTTCATGGGAATTTTCCTCATGGACTTCACTGATCCGACCCCTTTTAAGAGTGAAAATCATCTCCATCCCACAGCGCAGATTTCGAGTGCGTTCACCTCCATGACCATCCTCCGGCAGACTTCCATCGCAGGGCGCCACGGGGATCGCGCCAAGAGACTGCCGTAGTTCACCGCGTTGGGCACAAGGCAGGCCTGGAGCGTCCAGGGCAAGATGTAATAAGACTATATGTGTAATGGTTAATTCTGGTTAATAATGGTTTATTCTGGTTAATAATGGTTAATTCTAGTTAATAATGGTTAATTCTGGTTAATAATGGTTAATTCTGGTTAATAATGGTTAATTCTGGTTAATAATGGTTAATAATGGCTAATAATGGCTAATAATTGGAACAATGTGGGTAAAGCACTGCCATTTTTACCACCCATGACTGGGAATGATTTATAACACCTATAAAATTGGTGATGACTTGGAGGAAAGAATTTGCAGGGCACTGGGTGGAGCGGGGCTCGTTTCCCACCTAGCTACATTGAACAGATATTTCTGATTAAATAGCCTTGCAAACGTTCACTGAATCTTCTACCGGAACGCATTTCAAGACCCCATGTAGTTTGGTTCAACCACAACCTCTGCTATTGCAATGTAAGTTTGTTTTATGACAAGCAATGGCCAATACAGGACAGACCCATGCAAGTGAGCACTAGCAAATCCTTAGCCTTCGCTTGTGCACTTCTTGTCCTTGGGGGGCTACTTCAACAGCATGTACCTGTGAAAATCAACATGTATGAAACCGTATGTACAACCTGATCTCAGTGGCCACCTGATTCTTTCGCAATGTTGCCTTGAATGCCTGCGACGAGAACCAGGCCAGTAGCATGCGAAACGCCTTTTGCCATATTTCACAGTCGACCCCGCGCTGGGTACGCCACGGAGAAGGCTAACGCAGGCAACACCTAGAGCATTAGCGGCAGTTGCCTTCGTCAAGATGGCAACTCACCACGGGCGTTCGAATCCTTGCCTTCATGGGGAAAGCTCTTAACTTGGGGAAGGTTGCCGTCAAGGCACGCCCGAGCCACTGGGAGCAGCAAGCTGCAGCAATGCCCTCTCATTCAACCCTCATGCTCAGTCCTGTAGCTGTTTCAAGCACGGCTTGCAGAACACTACCAATTCCATTTTCATTTCCTACGGCTAAGCGGGAAATTAAAACAGGCCAGCCCTAGAAAGGCAAAGGCTACAGCAAAGAGCAAACAGGAGCAGCAGCTTGGGTGCCAAAGCTTTGCACAACGCTGGTTGAAAAAGAGCATTGCTATGATGGACCTTGAACTTTGCATGTCTCAAACGGGATCAGAACAGGGACCAGAGTCTGTTTCTGCATTGCTTCCATATATTCCTGGCAGACGCGTTGATGCAAGAAGCAGAACCGGATGGAATGAGGAAAACCCCATGACCTCAAGCCTTTTAGGCTTGCATTAGTGCCGATGTAGTAGAAGTAGTATTCAAGATTGTTTCATGCCACCATCCAGTCTTTTGGGGTTTTCAAGCAAGTCCTTGCTGCGGGCCCTTCAGCTGAGACTTCGGAAGCACCTAGGCCCTTTCCAGAAACGAGAAAAACACTTTTTTTGCTGTTTTTTTTTTACCGTTTTTGCCTGTAATTTTTCATCGGGGCTTTGGGTGGAATGGTTTCATCGGGGCTGTGGGTGGAAATGGTTCGTTCGGGGCTTTGGGAGGAAGATTTGAATCTTGTACGAGTAAGGAGCTTGAACGGGGCACTCGGAGGAAGGCCGCCGCTAGCCCTTTGAGCGGGGCAGTGGGTGGAGCCAAGCCATCGGGGCTGTGCGAGGTGATTTCGTACGTTTTCAAAAATGAAAATTTGCACTGAAAATTGGCGCCTGGTGCCTGCAATGGCCGGAATTTATTTCATCCCCGTCTTGGTGCAGGTGCGACTGTGAGGGAATATTTAAAAGCGCACATGCCTCTTACCAGATATACGTACATGCATTTTCAAAATGGCAGGGTAGGCGTCCGTCTGCTGCCGACATAGCAGGAGGCTCCGTAGAAACCTATATTATAGGGCGGGTGTGTAGGCGAGGAAGCGGAAAGCTAGCAACAGTCAGCAGCGTTGCTGTTCCTTAATTATCCTCCATCATGGCCGAAATACATCTCTCATGGCCTTGAATTTCGAGTATCCGGGTGTCATTGTTGAATCGAAGCACGCTCCTCGTCACCCTGGCGCCGTTAGAAGGGAATGAAGACTTTGACGCCCTGAGCTCAGCAACAAACATACTGTATGTCGCCGCGGTTGCTGGTCTTTCTGCCAGCAAGAGAAGAAAGCTTCCACCCCGCACTGGGAAAGGAGGAAGGCTTCAGCCGGCGCCGGGAGGGAGACCCGGCGCCGGGAGCGAGACCCGGCGCCGGGAGAAAGAGAATCCTCCCAACCCGGCGCCGGGAAGGAGGAATCCTTTCACCGGGAGAAGAAGAATCTTTCAAAAGAAGAAATCGTCACATGCTGATGGCAAGAAATAAAGCCTTTCCCGGAAGCACCTAGAAAGATAAAACTTAAAAACCTTTTCAGGGCCTCACACACGGACAACCACATGATCAATGAACATAGTATACATTTATATACTGCTGAGCTTGCCGCGCTGTCTTCTGTGTCCACTTCTGTCGGGAACAATGCCAAAAACTAGTTGGTTCATAGCCGACTCGATGACACCCGCGGACGACGATGGCCTAATGACCCCCAAACGTTGTGTCCACCATCATTTACCTTGCACCGTCCGAGGCCTCTTCTCATTCTACACATTCCAAAAAAGTTGAAACTAAGCAGAAAAGTGAGCCTAAGGGAAGCAAGATTTGTTTTTCCCGCCCTAATTATAAATGGGCATCTGCCATGACCACGGGACAAGTACTTTCGCACATAACGGCTATTTCTTGTTTTGTATCAGTGCTCGGGTGGAAAAAGTGTGTTTCACTACCCAGAGCCCTGCTACGCTGGAAGCCCTGCTGATTTGGTTCTCTGAATGACTGGTGGGGGATGGTGCAAATGACATTGTTTTACCCACATGACTAATTGAATTCATCATGCAAGGTTTAGAACGCAAGAGCCAAAGCAATACAGCGCTTTGTTTGTATGTAGAAAACAGTATGAACTATTTCCGAACACCCCTTGACTCACCAAACTTGATACCCATCATCGCGTGCCATGAATCGAGGAGCCGTTTCCCCTCAACGGAAGATCATTTCTTGGTGCACGATCCCACTGACCAACTGGCTTTTTTATCCCTGGGATGAGGCGCAATCCACAAAAAAAGAACTGGGGCATCTGGGATTATTGATTATTAATATGATTATAGCATATTATAGCCCAGTTATAGATGATTATAGATGATTATAATAATAGCCCAGTTATATGATTATCTATATTTATTATAGCCCACTATATCATCTATTAATATCATTATTAATATGATTATAGCCCAACTTAGAATTCCTATTGTTTTCACCGGTTTTGACCCATCCGAGCTGCGAAGCTCTGCTCTGCTAAGAGCTGGAGTCCTCGACACCAGTCCTGCATGGCAGCGAGGGATAAAGGGCATTTGATGTTTCTACTTCATGGGGTTACCCTCTGGTAATTTAACATAGCTATTGAAAATGGCCATTTATAGTGGATTTACCCATTAACAATGGTGATTTTATAAATACCCTCTGGTAAACATACAAAAAACTATAGAAATATCCACCATTATTAATGGGTAAATCCACTATTTCTATGGCCATTTTCAATAGCTACGTTAAATTACCAGAGGGTAAACAACCCAATACTGGGGCCAAATAAATCCCAAATTGTTTTTATATGTTTCGATGGCTAGAACCCCCCAAAATGATAAGTCTATGACTGAGGTTTATGAGTGGGTTTACCACTGAGTTTACCATACATCCATTGCGTGTCTATGAGCGAGACTGCTGAGAGGGACGGCTGTGATTTATTCAATGTCTAGATTTGGATGATGAGATGCTGCTGAAAAGCAACATGGTGGGCTCTCTCATCCAACATCAACTTTTCACATAGCAAGTATGACTCATATTTCATCGACAAGTCCTTAGGACAATCTCACAACTAATTCTTTGTGTACCCCATAGGATCCATGTATGGTATATATGCTAACATTTGGGGTATATTGATGGTGAATGTTACCATATATAATCCATATATAGCATACATGGATCCTATGGGTACGTCGAACTGTTTTTATCCATCAAGACATGTTTCCTTCGCAGCGCAGCCAGGTCCCCGTCCTTGCCAAGTGCCTTCACTACGCTGCTGAAGCAAAACTCGTTGGGATCCGGCGTCCGTCGGAGAAGATGAAGGCCACGTAACCAGTCGCAGACATTGATGGCACTGCTGTAGCCTGGAGGTCCAACGCCAACCCCAAGGCGAAAAAAAAAAAAGTGGGGATTGAGGGCGTATGAACCACCAATCATGGGATATAGAATGATATATATAGTGATGTATTATATATATATATATGTATGTATCTTATATATATATTGGGATTAATTTGATTGATTATTCTGGTCAATATTGGGATATATAGTGGGAACATATATGTGGATATGTCAAAACCCTGTACTTATGGTGAAGATTGAAATAGCTCGTAAATTGGATGTTCATTTACCAAAAAATAATTGTGTTTATTGGCTTTATTGGTATTGATCCACCCCCATAATATAACAAAGTCTGTGAGGTAAAACCCTAAAAAACAACAAGGGTCAACTATGTTTCTCTATTATATCTCCAAATTGTTTGGTGACTGTGCTAACTTCTATTAGCGAAATAAACATATACTTGTTTGGATCTTTTGGGTTGCGGCAAACTTATGTAGCAAAAGTGGGACAGTGACTACTGAAAATGGCAAACATCTGTGTTCCCCCTGGGTCTTGGGTATCAATTTCAATTTTGACGATGCCACTTTTACTTTGATTAGTGATGATTTATTGATATAGCCATAGCCAACACCATTGTAATATGCTTGATAATATTTAACCAACATTGATAAATCATGGTCAATCCATCTACCTATCTCTAAGATATCTATGTACATATACACTATATCAAATTCTCAGTATACATATATATATATATATAATATATATGTACATCATAAACACTCTGAGCACATGTGAAATCACACGCATACTCTATATTTAGATATACATAGTAAATTATGTGAACTATACTATAACCATTGTTCAAACATATCCTTCAACCATGTGGACATTATACTATCATAATATCGGTGATAAACACATTAATCATATCCTTGAATTATACGATAAATAAACATCAATATTTGAACACACATCTGAGACAATACATGATAATACAATATAATATACAGATGTCCAGGTACCCTGCAGTAAACTAACATAGCTATGGAACATTGGCCTTTGATAGTTGATGTACTATGATGTACTTATTGTATAAATGGTTTCTTTTTCCATAGCTTTGTTCGTTTTTTGAAGGGTACATCTAGAAGTATACCCTCTGGTAATTTAACATAGCTATGGAAAGATCCACCATTTTTAATGGGAAAATCCACTATTTCTATGGCCATTTTCAATAGCTTTTTGTATGTTTACCAGAGGGTACACGTTTTTGTTAGTGCCAAGTGGCTGATGACATCCGGCTCCATCGGGATCTGTTCCAGCTGCTCCAGCAGATGAGTGGCAAGGACCCAGCCCTCAACGCCTCAGAGATCCGACAGATTTTTTTTTTCGGTGGGATTCCCATGTGCCATATATCAAACTGTGGATGATCATGTATTTATGGGGCTTTCCTAGCATGGATGTAGCCCAACATGGATGGTTTATCATTGATATTAAATGGAAAATCCTAGTAAAATGGATGAATTAGGGATACCCCTATTTTAAGAAACCTCAATATAGATAAATGCTGATTTTAGATACTAGCTGATCATGCCTATGGATAGATATGATGATTTTAGATATTCAACTGAAAACGACTCAACAGCGGGATTATCAAACTGCGGATGCTTGTTTTAGATATACTTTTGAAGATCGCTTTAGAGATTCTCAACGATTCTGGCTTTGTAACATTTCTTAAGGCCACTTTATATCTCGGAGATCTAACATTGACCACTAACATCTCTTATTGATTGGCGCGTTTCCGTTCTCAACGTCCATAGATTCCATTGCCTGCTGTTAGTAGGTGGAGGCTATGTCTAACATGTCTCACATAGTTTATATCGAAATATATTAGAACGCTTGTATTTATGTAGCCAATATTTATAGACTTGTTGTGTCAAAAGCAATGAACATGCGTGATTTTGGAAAGACTATCATTCTTGCAAGTCTTGAACATTGCTGTGCAGCTAGCTGTCAAGAACTGGAAAAGTAGAATGAAACACCGAAAAGAGCGCGATAGTGGTTGCAACTGCATTTGCGCATATATCATATCTTTCAATCGAAATTGGGGGAGACCCAGTTCACGTAGGGCATGGTTAGTTGTTTTTCCTTAACGCTACGGTCTACCCGCAACCAACCTCCCTGACCATCGCACAGCTGAGCTTCAGGAAATGAGGCCGTTGAAAGTCACCACAGTGGGTAGAACCTGATGTTCGTGGTTTTGAGTTTTCGTGATATTTTTTTGTTTATCGTTTATCTATGTCTGGGGATACTCAGTTTAGTATAGTTTAGTGACTTACCCTCGTTGCCCCATGTTCAATTCGAAGTGAAACGTGGGCGAATGTTCACACAGAACTGCTCCAAACTTGAACTGTTCAGTAAGTATTCCAAGCAAAAAACAACTGAAACTGCAAAGAGGCAGTAACAATCAATCCTTGATTTCTTGACTTCAATTTATAAGGATTCCCTCATGTTCCCCCAAAGGTACTAACTTTACCAAAAAAAACATTTGTAGAAGAGGATCAAACTACAACGAAATGTATACGGAACAACTATTGAATATCACTCAAAACCCTTCGAATATATTACAATTATTGTCCAACTGAGACATATTTTCCAACAGTTTTCCAACAATATTCTCAGATCGTATTTTCCATTATGATTAACTGGTAAATTAATCACTATTCCAACAATATTAATCACTATTCTCCATTAGATAACTATTAATTTACCATCTTAACTGTGCCTTTTCTTTCCATCGCCGCCTGCAGGTTCTCCATCTCTTTCGCCACGTTGAAGGCCCTCTGCCACCGATGAAAGGCGCCGCTGCTCGCGATCGCCACGTTGAAAGCCACGACGCTTCCGGAAAGGGAACCTGCTGGGATCACAGCCGAAAACATTAAAAAAAAACTAATGTGGTGATTAACATAGAATAGTGATTAATAGTGGTGATTAATAGTGATTAATAGTGATTAATAGTGATTAATAGTGATTAATAGTGATTAATAGTGATTAATAGTGATTAATAGCGATTAATAGCGATTAATAGTGATTAATAGTGATTAATAGTGATTAATAGTGATTAATAGTGATTAATAGTGATTAATAGTGATTAATAGTGATTAATAGTGATTAATAGTGATTAATAGTGATTAATAGTGATTAATAGTGATTAAAAGTGATGAATAGTGATTAATAGTGATTAATAGTGATTAATAGTGATTAATAGTGATTAATAGTGATGAATAGTGATTAATAGTGATTAGTAGTGATTAATAGTGATTAATAGTGATTAATAGTGATTAATAGTGATTACTAGTGATTAATAGTGATTAATAGTGATTAATAGTGATTAATAGTGATTAATAGTGATTAATAGTGATTAATAGTGATTAATAGTGATTAATAGTGATTAATAGTGACTAATAGTAATTAATAGTGATTAATAGTGATTAATAGTGATTAATAGTGATTAATAGTGATTAATAGTGATTAATAGTGATTAATAGTGATTAATAGTGATTAATAGTGATTAATAGCAATTAATAGTGATTAATAGTGATTAATAGTGATTAATAGTGATTAATAGTGATTAATAGCGATTAATAGTGATTAATAGTGATTAGTAGTGATTAATAGTGATTAATAGTGATTAATAGTGATTAATAGTGATTAATAGTGATTAATAGTGATTAATAGTGATTAATAGTGATTAATAGTGATTAATAGTGATTAAAAGTGATTAATAGTGATTAATAGTGATTAATAGTGATTAATAGTGATTAATAGTGATTAATAGTGATTAATAGTGATTAATAGTGATTAATAGTGATTAATAGTGATTAGTAGTGATTAATAGTGATTAATAGTGATTAATAGTGATTGATAGTGATTAGTAGTGATTATTAGTGATTAATAGTGATTAATAGTGATTAATAGTGATTAATAGTGATTAGTAGTGATTAATAGTGATTAATAGTGATTAATAGTGATTAATAGTGATTAGTAGTGATTAATAGTGATTAATAGTGATTAATAGTGATTAATAGTGATTAATAGTGATTAATAGTGATTAATAGTGATTAATAGTGATTAATAGTGATTAATTGTGATTAATAGTGATTAATTGTGATTAATTGTGATTAATAGTGATTAATTGTGATTAATAGTGATTAATAGTGATTAATTGTGATTAATAGTGATTAATTGTGATTAATAGTGATTAATAGTGATTAATAGTGATTAATAGTGATTAATAGTGATTAATAGTGATTAATAGTGATTAATAGTGATTAATAGTGATTAATAGTGATTAATAGTGATTAATAGTGATTAATAGTGATTAAAAGTGATTAGTAGTGATTAATAGTGATTAATAGTGATTAATAGTGATTAATAGTGATTAATAGTGATTAATAGTGATTAATAGTGATTAGTAGCGATTAATAGTGATTAATAGTGATTAATAGTGATTAATAGTGATTAATAGTGATTAATAGTGATTAATAGTGATTAATAGTGATTAATAGTGATTAGTAGTGATTAGTAGTGATTAGTAGTGATTAATAGTGATTAATAGTGATTAATAGTGATTAATAGTGATTAATAGTGATTAATAGTGATTAATAGTGATTAATAGTGATTAATAGTGATTAATAGTGATTAATAGTGATTAATAGTGATTAATAGTGATTAATAGTGATCAATAGTGATTAATAGTAATTAATAGTGGTGAATTAATAGTGATAAACCTCGAATTCATCACTTATTCTATTTCTGTTTTCTGAACGAGGGACCTAAATCATCTTAAAAAAGTGACACATCTAGATACAAATCATATTGAAACATATTTTTTTAATCATGAGTCTAAATAGTTGAATATAATTGGTATTTTCTATTTTCATGGAATTCAATCAGCCAGGGATTATGGAAGTATGACCTCATGAACATGATTACTGCCTGCCTGCAGCACTGGCGGCACGCAGCGACTGCACCGCTTCGGTCCATCCATGCCGTGCCCCCATGGCTCTCAGCGAACGGCCAAAGGTATGCCATGATAAGCTGAAACCCCAACCCACCAGAAATAGCCATGGTTGTGAAACCTAATGGTAGTGAAGAACCGTGGGTTAAGAATAGTTAGTACATGGCTATAACATGCTAGAACCATGGGCTATATCATGAAGCCCCAGTGAAGAACCATGTGAAAGCCGATGAGAGTGAAGAAAACCTATGCCTATACATAAGAAATGGATACAAATGGTAGCATGGTAGCTGGGTGGGGAAACCATGAGAGTCATCATCCATGGTGTCTTCGAGTGGAGTGTTGGGATCCCAAATGATGGGAACCCAGGTACCATCCATGGGATATACCGTAGCAGCCCAACTGAGCATGGCAGCCATGGCAGGTTAAATTGCCCATATCTGTTGGTTAAATTTGTCGGATGTCTTTTGTTGGGTTATGAATTGATGAACTCCCATTGAATACTGTGAATACGTCTTGGCCCATGTCTTAGATATATCCAGACATCATCCCACACCGCTGAATGGGATATCATAGGCATCCACACCCACGCGCTTATCACTGGGCCAGGCTTCCATAACAGCCAACTCTGGCCTCAATTGACCAAGTGCTGCGAAGGTTCATCTCATCTCTATATTCTCTATGTAATCCGAATCGCTGTGCTGAAAAAAATTGAGGGGAAACGCGCCAACATTTGACGGCTATCATGTCCCATTGAATTCATGTTACTTGGTGAAGTGGTATCCCCCATTTTCAGCCATATTATAATATGTGACATAAATATGTATATATATATAATGTATATATATATAATATCTGGAGTCTGCAGGAGTAGCACCACAAGATTCGACTTCTCATTGTGAAAGTTCTAGTCACAGTCCAATTCCTGGACTTTCCAAATGGATCAAATGGCCACGTTCAAAATAGTCTTGGATGCATGTAGAATTAATCCATATTAATCCCATCTTCTTATGGATTCATTTTCTGGATCATGAATTAGATGAGAATCGCGAAAAACATGTCCAGTCATCTGATAGAAATAATTGGACATTCTCATGTTACAGTATTTCATGGTATTTCCTAAAATGGTGGTAATCATGTTTCATACATTTAAATAAGGATTTTCCATTTAATATCAATGATAAACCATCCAGCTATTGGGCAAATCATCCATTTTAATAGCATTTTCCATTATAAACCATCCAACTATTGGGGTACCCCCATTTATGGAAACCTCCATATCCATCTCATCCACAGTCGAAAAAATCGCCTATTTGCCGCCCGACCGGCTCTGGGCACCACACCCAACGGCAGGGCCCACGGACTTCAGCTTCCGCACTCCATATCTGGAGATCGCTGTCGGGCTGTTGATTGGCAAAACTCACCATCAACTATAGTGGTACAGATATATATATATATACTATATACATCTATATACATACATATGTGATATATGTATATATATACATACTTAGTCTTTAGTTTGGGGATTAGTTTGAGGATTCGTTTGGAGTAATTTGGGATTAACTTTATACACACCGGGATTGATATTCCCATATGTCAACTGATGGTTGTAAGGGCAACCATAGCGTTGACAAATGAAAACATTGGGGTACCAACATAGATCACAAAACTGGTTGCTGTGATTTATTAGATCTTCAGTTTGCTGTCGTTCAATGGGTATTGCTTGAAATTTCAAACTCTTCAACTGAACAATGGTAATTTAACATATCTATGGACAATCACCATTTGCAACTAGGTACATCATCAAACTACCTGGGCCATGGCTTCCATAGCAAACTGCAACAACTTACCAGGGAGTACATCGCAAAGAAAGGGGCACACCATGAACCCCCCCACCCCCCATCCAAAAGTCGCCGCTGAATCCCCTGCAAACTCTTGCCTGGGATTGGAGCAGAGCGGATTTGCCTGTCACCAAGCCAAGGATCTACAAATATACGATGTGTACTGCATGAATCTGATTCTGATAGTTTTACAGTGTATAAAAACAATGTCAATCTACGTCTACGTGTATACATGATGTCCACATGTACATGTGCATACATGTATCTGGGTAAATTATAATATTTCACTAACCTGAATTAAGGTCCATTTGAAATTTGGGGATGATTTCCCTTATTAACTATGATTCCAGTGAGGTCGCAGTGAGGTCGTTATAATTTACCCAGATGTATATATACACATTGTTTAAATGTATATCAGCTTACATAGTTTACACATGTTTACATATCCACATGCAAATAAATATTATATATATAGTATATCTACCATGTCAAAATCCTTGTGCCACGCCTCTGTCATGGAATAGGCCGGCAGAACTGTGGCCTTGGGCGACATCGACTTTTGCGGCGACGGCGCGGAGATGTGGCACCAGTCGTCGAATCGGTGTATCTGAGATACCGAGAATGCTAGATACGTATGTTAGATATCTTAGATATGTAACATGCATATCTCAGAGACCTACTATGGTGCGAGAATATCTAGTATCTTAGAATATCTTAGATATGTATGTTACAACGTCTAGGTTTTAGCCCCAGTAGAAGCTCTAGAACCAGTTTAGTGGCCGCATGGCAACTGACAATATTCCAATAGAGATTTCTCATGGACTGGTAAGGTATGGACTGGTCGTGGTGGGAATCTGGGGATGCAAATGGATGCCCAAAAATATTAGGGATGACAACAAACAGTAAGGTCTTTGGCTCAACATTGTGATGTCATGGTGTCTGACCACCATCAACAATTCATATAAATCTATATATATATATATACATAAATACATACTAACAACCAAAGTTAGACTGGCGCTTTGGCGCCGGGCGATCATCCCTTTCAGAAGGCTGTTTTTGAACCGCGCTTCCCGGTTAGCCGCATGGTGTGCCCTTCCCCAAAATACTCTATGAACATGTATGAACATCCATCTACTTTAAAACTACAAAAGACAAAAAAGAGTTTATTTATGAAACAAGATCATCAAAATATTATCATTTAAAACATAGGCGATCTGTATAAACTCAACTTGCCTTGACTCAAAAATTGCCTCATCATGCCTCATCCAAACAATATCAACCTCCAATGGCACAGGTCACCTGAAAGAAGTCTTCCATCTGCTCAGCCAAGCTAGGCCTCGCTTCGGTTGAATGCCAAGTTTGGGATCACAACTTGGCGAACGAACTGGAGATTTTTCCTTTCTCTATACATGAAACATAGAGATATATAAATTATAAGTGATATAAACGTACATGTGCAAACATAAGTGTATCATAGTATCTCTACACATATTCTTCCGTGGCAGGCACATATTATATATACACATCCCATTAATTACTGAGATATGTAGCCCTCTGAGCCCAGCACAGCAATGCCGCACTGTCGTTGCGGATGACTTTCAGCGGACTCCTTGGAGACCCCCCAACGACAACGAGGCTGCTGGATGAACAGCCGGGAGGTGGAAAATCAATGGGTAAAAACTAGCGAATCTTCAATGATTCATCAATGGATTCATCAATGTCCAACAGAATTTTGATGAATCTTGCCTCATGAGGCTTGGAAGCCTGCGTTTCAAACGGGATTTTCCTAGATGTTTCTCCATCCTTGAAGGTGACACTTCTCCATCCTCCCTAGCCCCCTGAAGGCCGCACTCGAAGTTCTTTGCTTCCTCAATAAAATTGTGACAGGTTGTGGAGGCCCCCTCTGAGCAAAGACTTTACATGGATCAAGAAATGGCAGTGTGTCAAAACCTTGTACCGCTGGTGAACATCAAAATAGCTGGTAAATGGATGTTCATTCCCCTAAAAATGGTATTAATAGGTATTGATCCATAGCCACATGGATCAAGAAATCAACATACGGGCGTTAAAGCTGGTTGTGGGCCCCATTGACTTCGGTTGCATTCGATTCTGTTGCTGCTCCCTGTGCCAGATTGTGCCAGCGACCGCAACAAGAATGAGAATCACAACCACCACATCCGCAACGGAAATGCCACTAGAACTTCTCAACAACAAAGGACACCAATAGTAGAAGCGGATGGAGCAACAAGACATAAGAGAACACCAGCAACCAACAAGCACCAAATCCATCCCAAACACTTTGAATCAACAAACATCAACCCAAATCAGCCATAATCAGCACAAATATGCAAACATCACCATAAATCAGGATAGATAAATCCGCAGAAACTATCCTAAAGTAACTCAAACCATCCACCATCACCGAGTTCCCCCTGTTTTTTTGGTCCTTGGCCAAAGTCATCAGGGACATGTGGTGTGCCGGCACGGCGGAGTAGCTGGTGGGCCTCTGGTCCCCATGGCTGCGATCGAGCCATGGTGGTTGATGATTAGTTCCGGGATTATACTACCCGTTACTACCCAATCAATATATATATATTATATTATATTATATATTCTATATTCTATATTATATATTATATTATATATATATTATATATATAAATATTATATATATATATATATTGGGGATTCTAATAATCCAATAGGGACATCCCTATAAACCAAGCATAATGATTATAATGGAATGATCATACGTCATTCTCATAGCAACCAGCACAACCCTGAACTTCCTGCTGAGATCCCTCGCAAGGGCTCCTTTTTCATGGCTTCAAAGAAGGTGTGAGCCTGGCTTCACAGCTGCAGTGTCCACGACCCTCAAGGTCGCTGTTTACTGGTTTGCTAAAAGTGGAATGTCACAATCCCCAAGATATAGGAGAATAATAGATAATACTAGATAATATAGACCCAATATATATATATATAAATATAATATATTATATATTATATATTATAATATATAATATAATTATATATATATATTATAATATATAGTATAATTTAATATAATTATATATATATATATATTATAATATATAATATAATTTAATATAATTATATATATATATTATAATATATAATATAATTTAATATAATCATATATATATATATTATAATATATAATATAATTTAATATAAACATATATATATATATATATTATAATATATATATAATAATAATTTAATATAACTACGAGTATATTTATAATATTATAATATATATATACACATATTTTATCACATCCTTGCCATAGGAATTTTTGACCCTCGGATGGTCTGCCCCTTGGATGGCGGTCCTGATATTGCCCAGGCAAGGCGATGAATTTGCAGCCGCTATACCTGGAGGCTCAGCGTCTCGTGGAGAAGTAGTGGCTGATGTTTCAGGTGATTCATGACTGTTGGGCCCAATGATTGATATTTATTCATCATGATCCTGTTGAAATCTGAAATTCAGAGACAAGGATCTGAAATCTGGGTCTTCTTCATTAACTGGATTTGATTCCGATTCCTGTCCAAAGCATGGTTTAGTAGGGGATCTATGGGACCATTTAGGGGGTCCTCTCACCTTTGCGCACGCAGACATCAGAAGGTTCTCCATTACTCCAGCGATGTGAAACATGGGCCTCATCAGAACACAGCGATCGATAGAACCTGCCACTGGTGAGTCCCGTCTGGTGTTCCAACTTCCAACTTCGCCCAGAAAGTGGGTCCGATACTCAGAACATCCAAAGGAACACACTCTGAAAATGCATTTCAAGACCATGAAGTGATACGGCAAATGCAATGCAACTGAGTTCTTGGTCATTTGTAGCAAAGCATGACCCAAACCGGCCTTAGGTACAACAACCTATTTTGACCAGGCCGGCGCACATTCCCGGACCCTCGTTTTTTTGTAACCTCTGGCAATCAAGGCCAAGGCATGCTGCTTCTCCTATATTTTCCAATCAAAAAAAGGAATGTTCCAGGGCAAGGTTAGATTGTCGGAAAGTGTAGTGTTTCTTGGCTGTGATATTTTTCATCTATATACTTTCCCTGTTTTTGTTGCCACAAAACTTTCTACGGCAAAGCATGGCAACAGTTCTCCTAAAAAGGTGACCATCAACCGGCGATTGTTAACTACTAATTTGAACATATCTTGTAGATTTATAATCAAATTAACCTGTGATGGTGAGATAATTTGGTGTCTTTACAAGACCTGACCTGGAAATTGATCGTCATGAAACCCATCACCATGTTAGGTAAATCCAACTCCACCATTCTTTCTGCCAGTCATAGCGACAAATCACCGGATGGTCACGGCCAAAGGCCATCTCAGTGGTCAGATTCCCACGAGATTCCCAACCAGGTTCCCATGGAAAATCGCCAATAAATCGCCATTTTTATCGCCATTTTCTGGTTGGTGGTTGACCTACTACTCTGAAAAATATGACTTCGTCAGTTGGGATGATGACATTCCCAATATATGGAAAAATGTTCAAGCCATGTTCCAAACCACCAAGCAGTATATAACCATCATATTCCCATTGTTGTTGGTTTATACCCTATTAACCACTATTACTGTAACCATGTTTTTTATCGCCATGTTTATCCCCAACTCACAACGAGGCAGCTGAGTGTCATGGTGTTCACGAAGACATCCTCCGGACCCAAGAGGTTGGCCGCCGCATGGCACAGTCCGCCGATGGCCATGCTTTCATGCCTCGGGGATGATGGGAGGATGGGGAGGATGGGGATATACCATCTGGTTATGACTAACATAGCCATGGAAAATCAGCATTTTTAATAGGTAAACCATCTATAAATGGGCCATTCCCCATGGCTATGTTAAATAACCAGAGGGTAACACCAACCTGTTTTGTGGGGATTTCATGGTGATATGATTGGGCAGATAAATGGCTTAGTCCAATGCGATACAGTCAAAAATCAATAACATAATAACTATATACCCACAAATTGGAAATTTGATAGGGAAAATCATGAAGTCAGAAATTTGTACAATTGGCTTGGTCAAGTTTGTTGCACAACTCGCATCCCTTGGGCCAGTCGCGGGAGCAGGTTCTGCATGGAATGTCTCTGTGGATGGAATCACAACAGCGATGATCTACAGACTCTGCAAAAGTAATTTACACATTGAATTTTCTGAAATTCGAGGCCAATTCCCAGCCAAATATCATAGCATTGGTATATCCCCAGTAATACTAAAGTTATACATCAACCATTATCATTAAGTATATAGTTATAGTTATAGTTCCCAGCCAAATACTATATCAATATGTTGCATTATTTTGCCATGATTTATTCTCAGCCAGCCTCCAACCAGTGCTGAGTTCCACCACGTGATGGGCACGATCTTGGGTTTCTTGGTGGTCCCGGAGGTGTGAAGCACCAGGCATACCTCGAAAGGTCGCTGGACGTTTTGGTCGCTGAAAAAACGGCCAAGTCCTACAAGGCTTTGCAGAAATTGTATGTGAATATGTATGTATATATATATATATATATCAAAAAATCATAGACACTATACTCGTTTGATATCAATTGAGAGTGAAACTTATTTACCATGTTTTTTGTTTAAACAAAAAATACAACAACTTCATTATAGCACATATTTGAATACTTCTCTAAGAAAACACCTCAAACCCATCCCAAGATTTTGTTCCCTTCTTGAAAAAACTGGCGCAAAAGGGACGATTGGTGCACCATGTGTGGCCAAGGCACGTGTTCACGCTTCACGGTTTCCAAAGGAGGACCCAACCTGTGTGAAATGTCTGTGGAACCCGCCACCGGAATCTTTTTCAGTGGCCGTATGCAAAGAGCAAGGGAACTATAGGTTCACTAGCCATCATGGATATCCCATATGCTCGATGTATGGAATATTTACCACGCCCTCATAAATCACTCAAATGTAGGTAAATATACTACTGTATACATGGAGCATTTGCGTATAGTAAACCAGCATAAACCACGATAAACCACGCAATTTTGAGGTTCCCAAGCACTTGACACATACCCAAATGCATCCAGACTTGACCCATGCTCTGGTGCCGATGATGAATATGCCCCAACATGGGCATTTTGATCCAAACAAAATGAGGATTACTATTATGAATATGATTACCACATATCGTAGATTATACTACTATCTATGATGACGATTACTATCTAATATAATATGATTACAATGTTTTTGACTACTATAATTAGTCAGTACTATAGATTACTATAGACTATATAGATTATAACTCAACATAGTTATTCAAAAAAACATAGGAAAATCCCCCATGTTCCATGGGCCCCTTGGGTTCCCGAACTTGGCGCCGCTCAGCGGCTTGCCTGCTGGGTGCTTCTCGAAGAAAAAGAGCCCAGCAACTTCCGGTCTTGGATCTTTTGGATTGGCCGAGGATGGGACCCTCGTGGCTTTTTTTTGGAGGGCCATTTAATCAATGGCCACTTCAGGTAGCGATTTATTGGAGGTCTACCTTACCTACCATTTATATGTTTGGCCTATTTTTTAGGGCTATGTACTGTATGGAGATATACTCCCAAAATATGATTTATATGGTACTGTAATGTACTGTACCTCCATATTAGGATCCTGAATTTCCCATGGATTTAAGGGATATTATGATAATCACCAGAAACATGATACCTTATGGGAGATATGATCTAAATAATCAGAATATCCTATAAATACGCAAGAGAAGGATTTTTATTCACTTTCTTTCTTTGGAGAGAGATATTGTATATATGTTGAGGAATTGTTGTTAGCCCTTTTCTGGTCAAAACTGGTGATGCGGCTGGGGGGATTCGCCATTGGTTTCTTTTGAACGTTTGTTGTTTGCCTCATTCGTTGCAAAAGACAATAAAGACACACCAACATGTTGTGCTCATTTCGGGGGGAGAAGTTCCAAGTGTCATGCATGGTTGAAGTCCAGAACCGAGAGATGTGATTGAGATTGGACTGAATGGCAGCATGCAGCATGTCTCATCTATCAGCCTAACAAACATATACTATGATATGTATATATATATATAGTTATATATATAATATATAGATGAAGACAGATGATGAATCACAAAGTATGATGGAGTTCTAGCTACCGATTCTGTGACCCTATTTATAGGTACATTTGGCAGGGGCCCATCCTTATTCACCAGGTATCTGGGTTGAAAAATCGAGGCTTCACAGACGCAATTCTGAGTGCCCCACGAAGGGACCAGTTGCAGAATGATCTGGATCTTCTTTTTCCGAGCCTATCCCAGGTCGGCCATTTTGCTGGATTTCGGTGTCCAAAGAAAGAGATATGGATCAACAAACCCTTGAATCGACATAGTCCTAGGACTCGAGCATCACATTGAAACATGTGAAGTCTCGCACCTGCGCCACTGCAACAGTCGTTGCCTGAGCAGTAGGCTTCAAGGAAGCTCGTGGCTCCGGAATGGCTTTTTTCATGGGTGCGCAGGTAAAAACCTAGTGGCCCAATAGTTGGGGGGGATGAACATTCATATCATTCACGTCCATCCAAAAAAGAACCGAAAAAATCTGGGCTTCACCGTATATCAGGGTGTGACCTATAGCCCAAACGGTGAATTCGTTGCTGACCCAAACTTCGCTGACCAACTGGAGGTGTTTTTTGAAAATGGGATCAACTGCAAGCGTCTCTTGGCGTTTCTTTTTGACACCGTATCTTGGCTCGTAATAACGTGACAGAAATTTTGTTAAGTGATGCTAAATGAAATCCTTGATCAGAAGCCTTCAAGCTGCACTTCGCTGGAAGCATTTCGCTATAAACCTTGAAACTCAAGTGAGATGATGCCAATTATTGCCATTTGCTGATGGATTGAAACATGTTTATTGCTGCAGCTGGGATATCACTCCAATAAACATGTCGAAATATCAATGATCAATATGCAACTCACCAAGATAAACATTCTATATATGTATATTCATATTTATATTCTATAGTGATATGATATATATATATTAATATATGATATATGAATGTGATATGATTAATTTATATTAATTTAGTGTACATCTGTACACTTAAACAGCATACAACACTATACATTTCATCAACGACAACAGCTCCGAATCATCTGCGGTTTCTGCGAGCCCTGGCGGCTTTTTCATCCTCCTGCAAGGTCTCCGTCTTCTGGACGACTAAGCCCTGGTGCAGCAGTGCAGCTTGGTCGAACCCCATGGATGGTTAATCAATGGACATGGAGGAAAATGCTACAGGTTCACTGCTTGGTGGTTGACCTACCCCTCTGAGAAATGATGGAGTGGGTAACAGTTGGGATGATGACATTCCCAAGATATGGAAAAAACATGTTCCAAACCACCAATCAGTTTAACATGGTTCACTATTTCTTATTCTTGTTTCTTTTTGTTGCTTCGAAGTCCAACTGCTTCTCTAACACAAAAAACTCGAACAAATCCTCCAACTCCCTAACTCCACCACTGTCCAACTCCATCGCCACGACGTTTTTTCTTCGTTTTTCACACCACCAACTTCTGCTCAGCACTGGCAGTTTTCACCAGATTCCTGGTGTGTACCAAGTGCGCAAGCCTTGGTCCATTGAGGTGGTCAGAGGTCTGTTTTTTGAGGCTCGAAATAGAGAGACAGGAGAAACATTGATAAACATCCCAATTTCTAGGGCCATTTCTTTGAGTCAACTAGCGATTTTGCCGATGTTCCAGATATAAAGTGTGGATTTATAAGGCAACAATTGAATGACAAGGATGAGAAAACATTGCATATTTGGGGTTCCGAATTTTGGGACAACCCTCCCTAGACCTGAGTCCGTGGTTGCTCGAAAATCATCCACTTCTTCACATGGGAACTGGGTCAAAACTGGCAGATCACCACCAAAAGATGGCAGTTTGGATATGTCTTGATTTGGAACGTGATGATCTTAACCACTGGATTTTGAGGTGATGGGCTCGCATTCTGATCGACATATCGAAGCCAAAAGGGATCCATCCCGAGCTCCCCGACATCTCCTTGAAGTTGGGGGAGCCTTAGCAACTTGGAGCAACCTGAAATCGACCCCACTCCGGCACCAAGATCTGAGGGATGATTTGGCTTTTTGTTTCAGAATTGGGTGAGTCAATGGATTGGTTTAAGGGAAAATCTACAGGAAACCATGGTTTTTACCATCAAATATAGAGGTTTCCTGTAAATTTTCCCATCATCCAATTCTATGAGTGAGCCTAAAATCCGATGAATATCTATGATTGGATGAACATGATGAACTTTGAAGATATTAATTTGGGGATATTTGGGGTCTCCAGTTCTGAGAAGACCTCAAGTAGAACTGGGTCTCCATCTCCCCATTGAAGCACCTTTTTGATCCTTTTTGGCAAGTCATGTTGGTAAGAATTTATGGATATTTATGGTATGACTGAGTTTGTAATTGGGTATGTACACGGTACAAATCCATGAGACTTGATGCTTCGTTCCCAGGTTTCGCAGATCTTTGTTGATCAAATCACCACGCTTGCTGCTTAGATCACCATTGTGCAGTGGTTTTTCACACCATCCATACCACCTTTGGGATCCTCACCATGCGCATTGCGCCATCGCCATGGCCAGGCCCACTGGGTCCACTGGGTCACCACACCCAATCCGCTCGCCGCGTCCCAGCCGGGTCGCGCAGGGAAACCCTGCTGGCAGTCTTTGAGCGGCGGAGGCAGCAGCCTCGACGTTGAGAGGGACGGATCGTTCGATGACATCTTTCTGTTCCATTGTGGGTAAAACAATGTCATGTTTACCATCCCCAAGAAATCCCCAGTCATCAGCATGTTTATAGGTGGCAATCTGTACCATTCCCAGTCATGGTTTTTTTTAGTGTTATGTATTACCCACATCTATATTAGAAAGCCTCCAGTACAACGTGGTGTTTTGAGAATTTGTCCGCCAAGGTGCAGATTCGTTCCAGAGATGTTCCCCACCTGAAATAGGGGAGCAACCCCAACCAGTGAGCTGGAGCAAGTTTTGGGCCAAGCCTCTCTGAACTAAAGACATCTAAAGACAAAAAAGTCACCAACAGCAAAAAAATGCAGTTATCTTGAAGAACATGAGCAAATATGAATGCATGGACATCTATAGATGTTCTTGAAATAAGTGATTGATCACATTGATGATCAAGTCAAGAACAACCTCCGTCTTGAAAAAGGCACTTATTCTGAATTCGTTGAACATGCTATAGTACTGTTTGTTTGTAGACATCCCACTAACATGTAGTAAATTGAGGTAAATTGCACAAACTCTCTGCATCGCCAGAAACAGCTCTCTAAGGTGCCACACACGCACGTCTTGGACGATCTCCGGCCAGCGCTGATAAGTGGAATACAAGAGCGGATTCCTGACGATGTCCGACGGGTTTTTTTGTCTCCAAAATGGTGCTTAAACCAAGCCCCAGTTGGTTTAGGCCCAAAAAACATGTGTTTTTTTCAAAATCATGGGATACAAAAGATGATACAACCTCAGATCTTCCCAAGTTCTTTGGGTTCACAAAAAAAGTGTTGCAGTCAAGTCAGCAAAACCTCGCTGACATCTGCGCTGGAACTGGATAGAACTTAGTTCAATCATTTGATTGCAGCTGATCATCTTGACTCACAGCTAAAGGCAAACATTAGATTGCAGTTATGTACAGGTGTCCTTGGGTTTCCTTGGAAATGTCCTGTGTATGTTTGAACAACCAGATCATCGCATAATATCCTGTATACCAAATATATACAAATCTTTAGCACCAAAATGCACCAAAACCTTTTTGTATCCTGGCTCAACAAAAAAACATAGTAGCTATTTTTGTGTGGCAATCTGCACATATCTGCACCGCAAAAAATCAACCAAGACCCCCCCAAATTTCGACCATTTTCGACCAAGATTCAAGAATCCCAAGGGCGGCAAAGCAGCATCCAACCTCTCTCCATTGATCAACGCCACCAGACCAGCAACGATCGGACCTCGGGATAGGCTCTCCCCAAGGGATCCCTATGATATGCTGGGTACTTATTCCAAGCCCTTGAAGAAATACTGAAGTCAATGATCAGGGTTACATTTTATACATGTCTGTATAGTACCTAGGCTACAGCTACATCACAACAAGTACTGTATATACTGTATATACTGTATATACTGTATATACTGTATATATACATATATATATATATACACGTGTGTTGAATCAATTTGAATCAGACATCTGAATGTGCTCTGTTGACTTCACATGGACTTTCTGGACACCCACCCAGTGGACTCGTTTCAGCTAGTCGGAAAGAACTGCATCAGGGGCTGGTTGGTGATAGAGCCACAAATCCTAACAATAGCATGGGGCTAAAAAAACAACAAACATAGCTGCTATAGCTGGTTGCACTGGCACTTATAAGGGATATAAAAACATCAAAACAAATTGAATTCTTAATATGTAATGAGTGCCTGGTGATGATCTGCATGGGTGACCATGCGCGAAAAACAGACATGGTGACCATGGGGAAATTTGAAGGAACCGATCTTGTTTAGAATGAAATTCAAATGGGATGCACATATCCAAATGGTACAAAATCACCATCTATACACATTCAGACAAATTACCATATATCTTGAACATAACCAAAGTTAGTCGGAAAAAATGGCGGATACCTCCTTTGTTGCCTTTTCATCCCCATTTCTCCCACCAAACTCGATAAAGATTAGTGTCAATTCCACAATCCATCCAAATATCCCCCTTGTGGGATCAAATTATATCCATTTTATATCCCCATAGAATCCATAGAATTGTTTCAAATTCTTGTTGTCAATTGTAGCCCTCCTTGTTCCTCAAAAAACAGCAGCCTATCCATTCAGTCATCCTTCACGACATCTGAGACTTCCGGACTGCTGGCAGAGGTTCCGCCGACCTCGGGTCTGGCAGCTGGCTGTAGTACTTGGAGATTGCCCTAGTAAGTAGGGCCTTAAGTACCCTCTGGTAATTTAACATAGCTATTGAAAATGGTGATTTATAGATATTTATATTGGATTTTCCCATTGAAAATGGTGGATCTTTCCATAGCTACGTGAAAAATTACCAGAGGGTACATCCAAATAATTCCAAATACTGCTACACCAATTTCTAAGGTTTTGCAAGGGAAAAAACCACTCCAAAATTTCGGTGGAAAGACCATGGACTATAATATATCTGGGTAAATTATAATATTTCACTAACCTGAATTAAGCCCATTTGGGGATGATTTCCCTTACTAACCATGATTCCCAGTGAGGTCGTAGTGAGGTCGTTATAATTTACCCAGATATATTCTGCTGCCAAGAATAACTACAGTTCTCAGTTGTAGAACTAAACAACTGAGACCTCATTCTCCAAAGTCAGTCAATGATTCGAACATGTTTGACTGAATCCGTTTGTGACTTGGCTTCAACAGGCGCAACCCTGCAGCCAAAACCAGACAACTGCCATACTGCCATCACTTTCGCTCCTCTTCAAAAGACCACCAATCAACCACCAATTCACCAAGGCCATAGGTCTGGAGAATTTTTGAGAATTCACGAAGCCAGAAATCTGAACAATTCACTCACCTGAAGGACCTGAAGTAATTTTCCATGTGGTTCAAACAATGTCATAAACCATCCCCAAAATTCATCACCTCAAAAATAGATGGTGCAAAAACCAACCATTCAAAAATGGAGGACTTATATAGTGACGGACAATCACTTAAACGTATTTTGGAAAAAAAATTCTGAATATTACTGCTTTTTTTACGTTCTAAGCCTTGCACTTAGAACGTCGAAAACCATACACTTAGAACGTCCAAATATCAAGATTCATCACTTAGAACGTACCGGGGATTTAACACTTAGAACGTGTCTAGGTCACTGATGATAGTGGAAAGGCTTGTGAAATCTTTTATCTCTAAGTGTTGGATCCAGCAGCTAATTCCGTAGGAAGCATAGACATAATTTCGTACCATTTGGCTTTTCCCTCCCATATGATGTGCAAATATTGGCGATCTTTTATCTCTGGAACACTATACCTTTTGGTGCTTTTTGGGGGTTCTGAGTTCTGATGTTCTAAGTGTTGGATTCAGCAGCTAATGCCGTAGGAAACATAGACATAATTTCGTACCATTTGGCTTTTCCCTCCTATATGATTTGCAAACATTGGCGATCTTTCATCTCTGGAACACTATACCTTTTGGATCCTTTTGTTGCTTTTTGGGGGTTCTGTCGTTCTAAGTGTTGGATTCAGGAACTAATTCCGTAGGAAACATAGACATAATTTCGTACCATTTGGCTTTTCCCTCCCATATGATTCGCAAATATTGGCGATCTTTTATCTCTGGAACACTATACCTTTTGGATCCTTTTGGTGCTTTTTGGGGGTTCTGACGTTCTAAGTGTTGGATTCAGCAGCTAATTCCGTAGGAGACATAGACATAATTTCGTACCATTTGGCTTTTCCCTCCCATATGATTTGCAAATATTGGCGATCTTTTATCTCTGGAACACTCTACCTTTTGGATCCTTTTGGTGCTTTTTGGGGGTTCTGACTTTCTAAGTGTTGGATTCAGCAGCTAATTCCGTAGGAAACATAGACATAATTTCGTACCATTTGGCTTTTCCCTCCCATATGATTTGCAAATATTGAATTGGCGATCTTTACCTCTTGAACACTATACCTTTTGGTGCTTTTTGGTGGTTCTGACGTTCTAAGTGTTGGATTCAGCAGCTAATTCCGTAGGAAACATAGGCATAATTTCGTACCATTTGGCTTTTCCCTCCTATATGATTTGCAAACATTGGCGATCTTTTATCTCTGAAACACTATACCTTTTGGTGCTTTTGGGGGTTCTGACGTTCTAAGTGTTGGATTCAGCAGCTAATTCCGTAGGAAACATGGACATAATTTCGTACCATTTGGCTTTTCCCTCCCATATGATTTGCCAATCTTGGCGGTCTTTAGCTCTTGGAACACTCTACCTTTTGGTGCTTCTTGGGGTTCTGACGTTCTAAGTGGTGGATTCAGCAGCTAATTCCGTAGGAAACACAGACATAATTTCGTACCATTTGGCTTTTCCCTCCTATATGATTTGACATTGGCGATCTTTTATCTCTGGAACACTCTACCTTTTGGATCCTTTTGGTGCTTTTTGGGGGTTCTGACGTTCTAAGTGTTGGATTCAGCAGCTAATTCCGTATAGGAAACATAGACATAATTTCGTACCATTTAGCTTTTCCCTCCTATATGATTTGCAAACATTGGCGAATCTTTTATCGATCTTTTATCTCTGGAACACTATACCTTTTGGATCCTTTTGGTGCTTTTTGGGGTTCTGACGTTCTAAGTGTTGGATTCAGCAGCTAATTCCGTAGGAAACATAGACATAATTTCGTACCATTTGGCTTTTCCCTCCCATATGTTTTGCAAATATTGGCGTTCTTTATCTCTTGAACACTATGCATTTTGGTGCTTTTTGAGGGTTCTGACGTTCTAAGTGTTGGATTCAGCAGCTAATTCCGTAGGAAACATAGACATAATTTCGTACCATTTGGCTTTTCCCTCCCATATGATTTGCAAATATTGGCGATCTTTTATCTCTGGAACACTATACCTTTTGGTGCTTTTTGGGGGGTCTGACATTCTAAGCCGTAAGAAACATAGACATAATTTCGTACCATTTGGCTTTTCCCTCCCATATGATGTGCAAATATTGGCGATCTTTTATCTCTGGAACACTATACCTTTTGGTGCTTTTGGTGCTTTTTGGGGGTTCTGACGTTCTAAGTGTTGGATTCAGCAGCTAATTCCGTAGGAAACATAGACATAATTTCGTACCATTTGGCTTTTCCCTCCCATATGATTTGCAAACATTGGCGATCTTTTATCTCTGGAACACTATACCTTTTGGATCCTTTTGGTGCTTTTTGGGGGTTCTGACGTTCTAAGTGTTGGATTCAGCAGCTAATTCCGTAGGAAACATAGACATAATTTCGTACCATTTGGCTTTTCCCTCCCATATGATTTGCAAATATTGGCGATCTTTTATTCTGGAACACTATACCTTTTGGATCCTTTTGGTGCTTTTTGGGGGTTCTGACGTTCTAAGTGTTGGATTCAGCAGCTAATTCCGTAGGAAACATAGACATAATTTCGTACCATTTGGCTTTTCCCTCCCATATGATTTGCAAATCTTGGCGGTCTTTACCTCTGGAACACTATACCTTTTGGTGCTTTTTGGTGGTTCTGACGTTCTAAGTGTTGGATTCAGCAGCTAATTCCGTAGGAAACGCAGACATAATTTCGTACCATTTGGCTTTTCCCTCCTATATGATTTGCAAACATTGGCGATCTTTTATCTCTGGAACACTCTACCTTTTGGATCCTTTTGGTGTTTTTTGGGGGTTCTGTCGTTCTAAGTGTTGGATTCAGCAGCTAATTCCGTAGGAAACATAGACATAATTTCGTACCATTTGGCTTTTCCCTCCCATATGATTTGACATTGGCGATCTTTTATCTCTGGAACACTCTACCTTTTGGATCCTTCTGGTGCTTTTTGGGGGTTCTGACGTTCTAAGTGTTGGATTCAGCAGCTAATTCCGAGGAAACATAGACATAATTTCGTACCATTTGGCTTTTCCCTCCCATATGATTTGCAAATATTGGTGATCTTTTATCTCTGGAACATTATACCTTTTGGTGCTTTTTGGGGGTTCTGACGTTCTAAGTGTTGGATCCAGCAGCTAATTCCGTAGGAAGCATAGACATAATTTCGTACCATTTGGCTTTTCCCTCCCATATGATGTGCAAATATTGGCGATCTTTTATCTCTGGAACACTATACCTTTTGGTGCTTTTTAGGGGTTCTGACGTTCTAAGTGTTGGATTCAGCAGCTAATTCCGTATAGGAAACCTAGACATAATTTCGATTCCACTTCGAATTTCAATTTTCTGCAATATTTTAATTGCGTTATAAAAGGAAATTCAATTGATTTCGAAAGCGAAAAAACTAGTCTTTTTATTAAGGGTTTAAATTTATTATTAGGATCCGCTTCGAAATCCAATTTTTGGCAATATTTTAATTGTGTTATAAGGAAATTTACCTGATTTTGAAATCGAAAAAAACGTTTTTTCTTATTAAGGGTTTAAATTTATTATTTAGGTCCGCATCGAAATCCAATTTGTGGCAATATTTCAATTGCGCTATATAAGGAAATTTAATTGGTTTTGAATCGAAAAAATAGTTTTGTTTTATTAAGGGTTTAAATTTATTAGGGTCCGCTTCGAACTCTAGTGTTTGGCAATAGTCTTATTGCGTTATAAAAGGAAATTTAATTGATTTTGAATCGAAAAAACTAGTCTTTTTATTAAGGGTTTAAATTTATTATTAGGATTCGCTTCGAAATCCAATTTTTGGCAATATTTTAATTGCGTTATATAAGGAAATTTAATTGATTTTGAAGTCGAAAAAAATAGCCGCTTTATTAAGGGTCTAAATTTATTATTAGGGTCCGCTTCGAAATCCAATTTTTGGCAATATGTTTAATTGCGCTATATAAAGAAATTTAATTGATTTTGAAATCGAAAAAATAGTTTATATAGCGACGGACAATCACTTAGCACGTTCTAAGTGTTGGTTTACGTTCTAAGTGATAAATGGGCCTAAGTGATATTCTGACGTTCTAAGTGATGAATTTTCCCTACGTTCTAAGTGATGAAATTTTGCTACGTTCTAAGTACGAAAAAAAAATGGAAAAAAAATTACGTTCTAAGTGATTGTCCGTCACTATATATGTCACCAGTTTTCAAGCACAGAAAAAGGACATCATTAAGGACATCACCAGATTTTATCACAACAGGTCAGCCGGATATCACCACATTCCAGGCATCCCAGGCACCATGGTCAGCCGTTTCTGAAAGATGATGGGCACATTCGCTCCGGTGGCGCTGATATCCGGGTAGCCACGGCCTCCATGGGATGATGAAGCATATGGATGATTTGGAGGACCCCCATTTGAGATTTGACCAAAAAATGTGGCAAAAACGGAGTCATAAGCTGCAATTCTACCTGCAAGAGTCGTACAACATTTTTTTTACGGATTTGATCTGAACGAAATGAGATGTTACTTCGAAGAGATTGGGGAATGATCTTACCTTCAAAATCTTCAAATACATAATACTTTACTTTCTCTCGAAAAAAATGGAGTTTGCTGGCAAAAATGAGGACTTTCATCATGTTTAGCTGCAACACGTGGGGAGGCTTGGATAGATTGGGATCAAATAGTGATTCATCCTCCGGTGATCCAAACGTGGCCGGGGAATAATGCTGGAAATCTGTCTGAATGGCAATAATTCACTGACCTAAAAATAGATCAAACCAGGCCATTTCCCCTAACCATCCCTAACCATCATTCCAGTGAGGTCACAGTGAGATCGTTACAGTCGATCCGGATCAATGGATTTTTTTTTCCTGTGGATGTTCCTTAAGGTAACTTTGAAATCATCCTTCATCTTTTCGTGACCGTTTTCAAGTTTTCAATGGGCCCCAAGCTGCTGGGCTTCACGTACCCATTGGATCAACCGTTGGAGCCCCATTTTACCGCTGCCTGTCGAGTTGAAGAGAGGGATCGATTCACATCGACTTGACCTCGCCGATGGCCATGGATGGCAGTGGTAACCACTTAAGTGAGGCCCACCGGGCTGTTGGGACCTGACAGCCTGGCCGAGTCTACAAAAAAAACACCTAAAAAACATCAAACAGATGTAAACAGCATGTCATCCCTCCGAATAACACATCCTTGCAAGGGCTATATGGCTATATGCTTCTTCACCCCCATGACACATTTTTCTGACCCGCTAGATTGGTCACTCGACTCCCATTTTTTTTTGACAAAAGCACCCAACCATCCCAATCAATGCCGCCGG